GGGCCCGGGAGTTTCGGTTGGGGTGCATTAGTTGGGGTGCATTATACGATAGCGGATTGGGTGGTACCGCCAGCCCGCTCTTTGCGGCAGGGCAATAACGTCTGACTCGAGCCACGTGGCGCCTATGCTAGCCAGAGCTTCTTGCCGCTGATGACCGGCCATAAAACCCCCTTCAATTGGAGTTTGTCTACCCATGGCTGACCATCGATCTCGGCATACAACCACATGCATAGCGTGGCTGGAAGAATCTTGTATCTCTAATCTTAATCTGCGGCGGCTTCTGTTATGCGATTTACCGCCGGACACGATTGCCCTGAACGGTAACGTCGAACGCTGCACCGTCTCAGGACTGCATGGTAGGATGTATTTGGCAGAAGTGAAACTAAATTCCGGAGGCTCACACATACTCGACGGTGAGCCGGCAGTTGTCGGAGAATGGCCGGGAATAAATGTCCCGTGGCGACGACTGCTAGTCTTCGGAGAAGGGTTGGAGCGCGGCCGCGCAAATCGTCAAAGCGAACGCAGAGCAGCTCAAATGGCATCACAAAAATCATGCGGTTTTACCCGACGTGATCTCGTATTTCGTTTCGGAAACCGCGACCACGAGACCCGGCGAGATTTCACGTAACCAACACCCTGGGGTCAATCGACACGAGAACAGGAACAATGCGGAGAACATAAACGGTGTTCTGGATGACGTCGAGCAGTTGGAACCCCAAGCGACGAATGCTACGACCCGTGCCATCACCCCGAACTTTGTTGACAAGACAGTCCGGGCGGTTGACAACGTTCCAAATCTGACCTTTTCGTAAACAGGTACCCAATCTCTCGAGACAAATGCCTTGCAACCGGCACTATGTTCGAACTCAATGCTCGACAAGCGGGCGCTATCATGGCCACAAACTGACCGTGAAATGGAATTTCAAACTACCGTAGTACTGGCAATAGTGGCTGCCATCGCAGCATCGGCCTCGTCTATCGTTGCGATAGCGGCTTTGGCATACGTCATCAGGGCAGACCGGCGAAAGAGCGGTTTAGATATCCGTTGCGGCTTCGGCGTGTCAACATCGATATACGCTTCGGAGGGGTGGATTTGGAGGGTGACACTTCAAAACAGAAAGGACCGATCTGTAACGATCTACAAAATTTATGTCGAGGTTGGCCATGGCTTCTACGTAGGCATAGATGATTTCGATGAGCAGCCCCTCCTACTCGAACCGTACGGTTCATTCCAGAAACAGTACGACCCAATCGAATTCTACGCCGGCGACATGTACCGATGGGTGGGCGTTTTTGCTGATCGACGAGCTCGGCAAAAATTAGTCCTAGCCACCGCTGAAGGCCGTTACCCACCCAAGCGCTGGATAAAGGCCTGGGACCCTGTGTATGAGGCCCTATCAACGAACCGAACTACGATAGTCGTTGATCCCGTTAGGCTAACCTATAAAGGGAGAAGCTACGGTTCAGAAACCAAATTTATCGTGACGTTTACCGATGCAGATGGTCGTGAGGAGATCGTTCCTATCCATGCTGCCGACCACCAAGTAAGAAAATTTCGAGATTTCAGGTTGACAATGGAAGCTCTGAAAACTCGAGAAGCACTGGAGAGTTTTCTCAGGTACCAAGTTGAATCTGGTAGATTGCACTGTGCAGAGTTCACCGTCTTAGATCTAGAACCGATACGGTTAGAGCGATACAAAGAATACAAGACGTCTGTGCCAGCACCGGTTCGTGGTTGGTTTGTTTATAACGTTTTGGGCAGGTGCTGGACACTATGGGACCGTTGGCGATTGCATCGGGCTAACAAGAAATCACGCAAACAAGCAACCACCAATCGCTGAATGTCCCTGATGTTCAATCCTGTTTGCGATAGCATCTTACTGCACTGTGACCAGGTGAAGGGCGACTGGGAGAGGAACGCCTGATAGGGCGGCTGAAGTATCTGGGCATTGCGGCTTGACAGTCAACCAACGAAAGTAGCCCAAGGGCAATCGGGTCCTGTGATAAATCGTATAACAAATGCCATTTCACAATACGATTGGGGATGCAACGTTTTTTCGGCTATGCTATGTATGGGACCAGAAGCAGAGAATTACAGGTCAAACTATCGAACGCTCGCCCGTAAAATCTCTTTTATGGCAGGGCATCCGCGGCAAATAGCTCTGGCTAGCAGAGACGCCGCACTGGACCGTATCTGCTGGGACGAGCGCGAATTGGCGCTGCGCGAGTGGATTTGCCTATTCCGCATGTGCAACTTACCCGTCATGCGGCCGGGGAACAGGACCGGCTCGAAAGGCTGCAATAAGGGCTGTCCCTAGTGAATGAGGCGATAGGCTGCGAACGCCGCCCTGACCTGACAGGGCGCCGTAATGTATGCCGGACGTTTGCCCGAAACCGGTCAGGGCTGGTCGTTGGGGATCAGGGGCATCACCTCGCGGGAGAAGCGTTCCATCGCCTCCTGTTGCTGCGCGGCGGTTTCAGCGGGGAAGCTGAAGATAAAGTGCTTCACGCCCAGGTCCTGGTACTGGCGCAGATCTGCAGCGATCTGCTCGGGAATGCCGGACACCAGGCGGCGGTCGGCAGGCGGCTCGTCGTGGAACACGCAGTCGGTGCTGAACACCAGGTCCACGGCGTTTTCGTCGCGGCCGGCCCTTGCGGTGACCCGGCGCAGGCGGGCGATCTTCTCGGACAGTTCCTCCGGTTCCAGGATCGCCGGCGGACGCAGGCCGATGGGCATCCAGCCGTCGCCCAGCGTGGCGGCGCGGCGAATGGCCGGATTGGTGTGTCCGCCGATCCAAATTGGAGGGTGAGGCTTCTGCACTGGCTTGGGCAGGAAGCCGGCGCCGCCGATGTCGTAGTGCTTGCCGTGGAACTCGGGGTTGTCCGACGTCCAGAGCTCCTTGAAGATCTGGATGTACTCGTCGGTGACCTCGCCGCGCTGAGCGTAGGTGTCCAGCCCCATGGCCTGGAACTCCTCTTCCATCCAGCCCACGCCGGCGCCCAGGATGAGGCGGCCGCCGCTGAGCACGTCCAAGGTCGCCAGTATCTTGGCGGTGAGCACCGGGTTACGGTAGGGCAGGATGAGCACGTGGGTGCCCAGCTTCACGCGGGTGGTGCAGCCGGCGAGGAAATTCAGCGCGGCCAGCGGCTCGAAGTAGGTGTTGTCGCGCTGGAACGGTGCGACGCCGTCGGCGGCGTAGGGATAGAACGACGAGACCTCGTGGGGGATGATGATGTGGTCGCTGACCCAGACGTGATCGAAGGACAGGTCCTCGGCGCGCTGCGCCAGGCTGCGCATGTTTTCAGGTGATGCCATGGCCCCCCGGCTGGGCAGCGAGCATCCAAAGGTGACGGGCATGGGGTTGCCTCCGTGGCGGGTTGCGGGATGGGATCGGCTGGTCGAATTGGGCCGATGCTATACTACCGACATACTGGCCGCAAGCGACTACCGAGCCCAGAACGCTGAGCCCAGAGCAACGATACCACCGAGCAACGATGCCACCGCGACAACGCCGCCAATCTCCCGAACGTCGGGACGCTGCCATCCGCAAGCGCCTGCCAAAAGCGCGGGAATACTGGTCGAAATGGCCGGCTTACCTGGCTGAGGGAGATCTGTGTCAGGCCGGCGAGAAGGGATGGGGAGCGGTGGCGCAGTTGACGAAGGCAGTCGCCACACACCGGGGATGGCAGCACTCCGACCACGACAGGTTGCGCGAAGTGATTCGCGCTGTGGGCGATGAAGCGGGAGAGCAGCGAGAAGTCATCAGCCGTGGCCTGACCTCCGCAGACGTGTTGCACGGCAATTTCTACGAGGTGTTCCTGGACCGGTTCCAGACCGAGTTGGCGTTGAACGACGTGGCAATCCTGATCGAGGCGTTGTGGGCTGAATTGCCAGATCAGTACAACCGGCGGGGTCTCCTTTGACGAGTGGGTTGAGCGGGAAGGATAACCATGCCACCCCGAACCCGACGCGAAACGCCTACCCGGCGAGAAACCCGCATCCGCAAGCACCTTCCCAAGGCCAAAGAATATTGGTCCAAATGGCCGATATATCTTGCCGATGGAGACCTTTGCCAGGCTGGAGAAAAGGGTTGGGGAGCGGTGGCACAACTGGCCAAGGCGGTGGCGACCCACCGCGGATGGAGCCATTTCGGCTACGAGGATATCCGCGCCGTCATCCGCCAACTGGCGGATGAATCCGACGACCGAGACGCGATCAGGCGGTCTCTGATGTACGCTGAGATGCTGCATGGCAATTTCTACGAAATCAACCTGGACCGCGTTGACACGGAGCTGGCGCTGATCGATGCGCAGTTCCTGATGTCAGTGCTGTGGGGCCTCCTCCCCGGTGAATACACCGGCGGGGCGACGTTTGACGATTGGGTTGCCTCCGGCGACAATTGATACATGAACTCCATGTCAAACCAACCCATCCCCAACCGCGCCGTCGTCGCCATGAGCGGCGGCGTCGACTCTTCGGTGGCCGCGCTGCTGCTGCACCGGGAGGGCTACGACCTCATCGGCGTCACCATGAAGCTGTACGACATCGACCAGGCCGACCTGCCGGAGTATTACCGTGGCTGCTGCACCCTGGACGATGTGGAGGACGCCCGCGCGGTCTGCCGCATTCTGGGCGTGCCCCATTACGTGCTGAACGTGCAGCGGGAGTTTCGCGCCTTCGTCATCGACTACTTCCGCCGGGAGTACGAGAAGGGGCGGACGCCCCACCCCTGCATCGCGTGCAACGACAAGATCAAGTTCAGCTTCCTGGCCCAGCGGGCCCAGATGCTCCAGGCGGCATACGTGGCCACCGGGCACTACGCGCGCATTGAACCGGACGGGTCCGGCTCGCTGGCCCTGCGACGCGGTGCGGACGCCGACAAGGATCAGTCATACGTCCTCTTCGGGATGCGCCAGGAGCAGTTGGCCGCAACGCTGATGCCCGTGGGACATTACCCCAAGCCGGAGATCCGCCGCTTGGCCGAGGAGGCCGGATTCCCCAACGCCGACAAGCCGGACAGCCAGGACATCTGCTTCATTCCCACCGGTGACTACCGGGAGTTCCTCCGTGAGCGCACGGATGAGCGCCCCGGCGAAATCGTGGACGCCACCGGCAACGTGCTGGGCGCTCACGAGGGCATCCAGTATTTCACCGTGGGGCAGCGGCGTGGCCTGGGACTCTCCGGCGGTCCGCCCCGGTTCGTGATCCGGCTGGAACCGGACACCCGCCAGGTGGTGGTCGGATCCGAAAAGGACCTCTACCAGGACACGCTGTACGCCGATCCGGTGTCGTGGGTGGCCGGCCCGCCACCGGCCGGACCGTTGGACGTGATGGTCAAGATCCGCTACAAGTTCGCGGAAGCGCCCGCCACGGTTACCGCCACTGGTACGGGGGCGCTGGTGAGGTTCCGGGAGCCACAGCGTGCCATCACCCCCGGCCAGGCCGCCGTTTTCTACCAGGGCGACACCGTTCTGGGCGGCGGGCCCATCGCCGGCGCAGAACCGGCGCCCCAAACCGAACCCGCTGGCGTCACGCTGGCCCATGCCTGACCTTTCCCTGGAAGCGGATTTCCGTGCCCAGGGCTATCGCCTGATCGCCGGCGTGGACGAGGCGGGTCGCGGGCCGTTGGCCGGCCCGGTGGCCGCCGCCGCCGTCATCCTGCCTCCCGCCCTGACCGGCGCGGAACCCTGGCTGGCCGCCATTGACGACAGCAAGCGGCTGTCGGAGCGGCGGCGTACCGAAGCTGCGAAACTGATACGCCAGAACGCCCTCGCCTACGCGGTGGAACAGGTTGACCCCGAAGACATCGATCGCATCGGCATCGGCCATGCCGTGATCCAGGCGATGCTGGCTGCCGTGGACCGGTTGCATCCGGTGCCGGAAGCGCTGCTCCTGGACTGGGTGCCCATCAAGGAGTGTCCATTGCCGCATCGGGCCGTGGTCAAGGGTGACGCCAGATCGCTGTCGATAGCTGCCGCCAGCATCCTGGCGAAAGTGGCCCGCGACGAGGTCATGCGTCAGGCAGACTGCTGCTATCCCGGCTATGGGTTTGCCAGCCATAAGGGGTACGCGACGGCGAGACACCTGCGCTGCCTCTCCGATCTGGGGCCTTCGCCGATACACCGCCGGTCCTTCAGCCCGTTGCGCCAGGCGCGGCTCCTGTCAGATGCCGACGCCGGATGACCCCGGCCCGGCCTCGGGGCTCTCGCCGGGGCAGGTTGGCAGAATCGGCGAAGAGTTGGCGCGCCGGCATCTGGAGACGAAAGGGTATCGCGTGGTGGCGGCCAATTACCGGTGCCGCTGGGGTGAGATCGACTTGGTCGCCCGGGACGGACCGATCTGGGCGTTCGTGGAGGTCCGCACCCGGCGCAGCAGCTCCTACGGCGGGCCCGAGGCATCGCTGACCGAGGCGAAAGCGCGACGGCTGACCCTGACGGCGCAGCACTTCCTGTCCGAATCGGAACGAATGGACGTGGAACCGCAGTGGCGCATCGACCTGGTGGCAATAAGGCTGGGAGCCGGCCGGCGCGTGCTCAGCATCGAACACCTGGAGAACGTCGTGTCGGGGTAACGCTGACCGGATGCTATAATCGCACCCGACCACACCGCGTAACTCGCCGCATAGCCGGGGCCCCCATGACCACCAAACCTGCATCCCAACTCGGCTCGGCTGGCCGCCACCCGCGATTGACTCCCCTCCCGGACCCGCCGCTGCCGCCCGATATGCAGGAGCAATTCCCCTACATCAGTCGCGCCTACGTGATCCTGGAGGACCATTTCAGCTCCCGTCCCGACGTGTTCGTCGGCGGAGAGGGCTACCTCTGCTACTCCCCCAGCGATATTCCCCATGCCCCCAAACCGGACTGCATGGTGGCGACCGGTCTAGAGATTCCCACGGTGGAGATCACGGAATCCAACGGGTACGCCATCAGTGAAATCGGCAAACCGCCGGACTTCGTGCTGGAGGTGGCGTCCAAGAGCACCGGCCGGCGGGATTACGTCGAGAAGCGCGATATTTACGCCGGCTACGCCGTGCAGGAATACTGGCGCTTCGATCATACCGGCGGTCGCTACCACAATGCCGCGCTGGCCGGCGACCGGCTGGTGGATGGACGGTACGTACCCATAGAGGTCACCGGCGGAGACGGCGACGTCATCCGAGGATACAGCGCCGCGCTGGACCTGGAACTCCACTGGTACGACGGCTCCCTCCGCTTCTGGGACCCGCACGCCGGCGAGTACCTGCCGGAACTGACCGAGGCCAAGGCCCAGCGAGACATCGCGATCGCCCAACGGGACGCTGCAGTGGAACGGGTACGTCAACTGGAAACCGAACTGGCTCGCCTACAGTCGGGGGAGTAGGCTGGCGCGGTCGGCGGTTGACTGTGCCATCGGCTGCGAATAGACTAATTTCCGCCTTGCTCCGGATAATCCGTTTGCCGCAGCAGCGCGTGCCAGCATTGCCGCCATGCCTATCGACCTCGCCCAACATATCCGGAACATTCCCGATTTTCCCATACCCGGGGTCCAGTTCAAGGACATCACCTCGCTGCTCCTGTCTCCGGACGCTTTCAACGAGACCATCGCCCGAATGGTGGACTTGGCTGCCGAAGCTCGTGTGGACCGCCTGGCGGCCGTCGATTCCCGTGGGTTCATCTTCGCCGCGCCGATGGCCACGCGGATGGGACTGCCGCTGGTATTGCTGCGCAAGGCGGGCAAACTCCCCGGCGCCACCCTGTCGTACGATTACAACCTGGAATACGGGCAGGCATCCCTGGAAGTTCACGCCGACGACGTTCCGTCGGGGGCGCGCGTGCTGATCATTGACGACCTGGTGGCGACGGGCGGCAGCCTGAAGGCCGCCGCCGCCCTGATCGAAAAGGCCGGCGGTGAAACTGCCGGCATCGGCGTAGTGATTGAACTCATTGGTCTCGGAGGCCGGGAGGCCCTGGCCGACTACGACCTTTTCTCATTGGTTACATTCGAAGTCGACGAATAGGCCGCAAACGCCATTTGCCGCGTACTCAGGAGGAATTTCCCCATGGCAGACAAAGCAACCATCGGCAACGTTGAGGTTACCGCCGTCATCGACATGGTTCCGCCCGCGCGCGAGCCCTCTGCGATGTTCCCGGACGTCCCCGACTCCGCCTGGGCGGATAACCCAGACACCCTGGAAGACGGGCAACTCCAACTTTACTACGGAGTGTTCCTCCTCAAGACCACGGAACACGTCATCCTGGTCGACACCGGCATGGGACCCGGCCCGCATCCCCGATCGCGGCAACATAACCGGCAACCTCTACGAGGAGCTACGGCCGCACCTGGAGTCCAACGTCGGCGTGAACAACACCAACGTCGGACCCAGCGACTCGGTCAACTACATCATCCACACCCACCTGCACGGCGACCACGTGGGCTGGAACCTGCGCTACTCCGGCGGTATGCCCGCGCCCAATTTCCGCCGCGCCCGCTACGTTATGTCGCGCCCCGACTACGACTATTTCACCTCGGCAGAGGGACGCCAGCGGTTCCCGTACATCGACCGCCAGGTCATGCCGCTGCGCCGGCTGCGCCTGCAGCAGATCCTGGAGGAACCGGAGCACACCATCAGCGACGAGATTTCCATCGCGCCCGCTCCCGGCCACACGCCGGGCCACCAGGTGGTGCTCATCAACTCCAACGGGCAGCGCGGCGTGGTCATGGGTGACGTGCTCCACACCATCGCCCAGATCTCCGAGCCTACCTGGTGCGCCGGCGTTGACACCGACAAGGAGCAGTCCGCTGCCTCCCGTGGCCGCCTGCTGGACGCTGCCGAGGAAGGTGACTGGATCATCTGCGCGGGACACTTCCCGCCCGGCAAGCAGATCGGCAAGATCGCCCGCGTGGACGGCAAGCGGGTCTGGCAACCACTCTAGGCGAACAGACGACGGCGTGTAGAGGCGAAATCATTCGCCCCTACTTCACGCTGGGGAGGCCTTGGAATGACCCAGTTGCGCAGCCTGTTGGAACGCATCGAATCGGGCACCGGCCCGTCACTGGGCTTCGGTTCGACACAGTCGGCGCGGTTGCCGGGGATGGCGCTGATCGCCCGTTGTTCCGGCGACATCGACGCGGCGCTGGCCGCTGCGGTGGAGTCAGCGGATGCCGTGGTCGTTTTTGCTCCGGGGATGACGCCCGACGCGCTGCCCGATATGGGCGACCGCATCTGGGGTGCCGGAGGGGCGCCGCTGCAGACTGAAATCGTGCAGACCTGGCGCGATGCCGGCGCAGATTTTACGGTGTCTCCCTTCGCCAGCGCGTTGGTGGATGCCATCGACATAGCCGAGCCGGGCATGGGCCACGGCGCGCGCATTCCCGACGACGTGGACGGTCACACGTGGCGCATTCTGGCCGGCACGCCGCTGGACTTCCTGGTGCTGGACAAGTCTGCCATGACCGGACGCTGGACGCTGGCTGATCTGGGTCAGGTCGCCGACGCCGCGCGCAGGACCGACAAGTACCTGTTCGTCCGCGTCGGAGCCCGACCTTCCGCCAACGAGCTGCTCGCCCTGCGCCAGGCCGGCGCCGTGGCGATCGTCGCCGAGGCCAACGACCATGGAGCCGAGGGTCTGGCCGCGCTCAAAGCCGACCTGATGGCCCTGCCCCGTCCGCAGCCAGCATCGCGACGCGGCGGCCGGACCGGACTGGAAAGCTCCGCTACGTGATCCTACAGAGCCTCGACCTGCTGCGGGAAAACCCGGTCGCGTTCGTCCTGGTGATCGGCATCGGGCTGATCGGGTTGATCATCGGGTTCACCGTCCACGAGTTCAGCCACGCGCTGACGTCCCATATCGAAGGCGATGACACCGCCCGGCGCATGGGCCGTCTGACCTTCAACCCCATCAAACACATTGATCCGCTTGGTTTCATCCTGCTGCTGGTGGTGGGTTTCGGCTGGGCCAAGCCGGTGCAGGTCGATCCTTACAACCTGCGGCACGGGCGGCTGGGGATGTCAATGGTGGCGCTGGCCGGTCCGTTGTCCAACTTTGTGCTGGCGTTCGTGCTGGGCCTAGTGTTCCGTTTTGGTCTGCTCCCTGTCGTAACGGATACGCGATTTGTTTCGGGGATTGTGGATATCCTAGGTTTCGCTGCGTTTCTCGCGATATTCTTCAACCTGATCCTGGGCATATTCAACCTGATACCGCTGCCGCCGCTGGACGGCAGCAAGGTTGTGGGTGGGCTGTTGCCTGGATCCATGTATCAAGGGTACCTGCGCTTCGAGCGGTACGGCTGGATACCGTTGATGGGGCTGATCGGCGTGAACCTGTTCCTGAGTTACGCCTTCGGCATCAACTTCCTGGGACGGATTCTCATTACTCCGGCGTTGTTTGTGTTCCGGCTGGCGACCGGGTTGGGCTAGCACGCGATCAACCCCGGGCTTGATTTGCGCCCGGTCGGCGTAGACCAAAAAGCAGGGGCGAATGATCATTCGCCCCTACGGATTCTCCCGATGCGCGTGCTGAGTTACCCGCGCAGGGGAATGGGCCGGTTCTCCTGGTTCTCGACGATCTGGTCCGTGTCCCACAGCTTGGCGAAGTTGTAGGCGCGGGGGCAGTGGCTATAGGACTCCTCGACGTTGATGATGACGCCCTGGAGGTGCTTGGAGTTGTCGTCCGTCCAGTAGAGTTCCAACTCCACCTTTTGCCGCTCCAGCTCCTCCTTGCTCACTATGGTGACGGTTCCGTTGACCCGCACGGTGTCGTTGACGCCGGGGATCATGAACAGCAGTCCCACGTGGGGGTTGGAGTCCATGTTCTGGTAGGACTGGAACAGGCGGTTGCCGGCGACGTCGGGCAACAGCAGGCGGGCGCTGTCGATGACCTTAACGAAACCGGGCTTGCCGCCCTTGGGCGAGGCGTCGCAGTTGCCCTCCGGGTCGGAGGAGGCCATGACTACAAAGGGCGCGGCGGCGATGAACTTCTGCACGAAGTCGGACATCTCGCCCTTGACCTTAAACTTGGCCCGCGGGCTCATCTCCCCGAAATTTTCGTTGAAACGGCTCGTTTCCTGTTCGATGGTGCAGAGGTCGTCGGCTGTTGCGGCGGCGGTGGTGGTCATGTTCGCAAATCCTCCCGGCATTCGGTGCTGGCATTTGGCACTTTAGATGATGGCGCACAGAATACCGGATTCGGCCGCGACACACCACCGCCAACCGGCGTCGGTTTCGAGGCAAAGGCCGACGAAATTCGCCGCCACCTTGACATTTTACGCTCCGGCAGATAGGCTTGATAGCAGTTAAAAATTGCATACGCTGCTGGAACCCTTATTCAGACAGGCGGAGGGAACGGCCCTGTGAAGCCTGGCAACCTGTCCCGCTCACCCCGTGGGACGAGGTGCTAAATCCGGCGTCCCCGGTTCGTGGCGCGTGACGCGCTGCAACCAACGGGCGGGACGAAAGATGAGGGGCGGATGGTGAAGGTGGCTCTCCCGGTGCGGGTGGGCCTTTATTTTTGCCTGCCTGGAATCGAGAATCCGCCAGCCTGACCGCAGCGTAACACAGTGCGCCACCGACGCACTCCACATTGCTTACCGGTTTATGAACGAAATTCGCCCCATCAACTGGACGGGCAGCCGGTTGGAGCTTCTTGACCAGACGCTCCTGCCCCACCAGCACGTTACCGTACGCATTACCGATTACCGTGCCGCCGCCGCCGCCATCACCGAGATGCGCGTGCGCGGCGCCCCCGCCATCGGAGTGACCGCCGGCTACGCCATGGTGCTGGCCGCCGCTGAGTTGCAGTCCCGGGAGCGGGACCACTTCATCGGCGCGCTGCGGGAAGCCGGAGCCCACATCGCCGCCGCCCGACCCACCGCCGTCAACCTCGGCTGGGCCGTGCGCCGCATGATGCGGGTGGCGGAGGCGGAGCCCGACCCGGGCAGTATTCGGCCCCGACTGGAGCAGGAAGCCCGTCGCATCCAGGAGGAGGACGAGGCGATCAACCGGCGTATCGGCGAGCACGGGCGCGCCCTGATGCCAGCCGACGGCCAGGGAGTGCTGACCCACTGCAACACGGGCGCGCTGGCGACTTCGGCCTTCGGCACCGCCCTGGGCGTGATACGCGCGGGATGGGAGGCCGGCGGCCGCTTCAAGGTGTACAACACCGAGACGAGGCCCTGGTTGCAGGGCGCGCGTCTCACCTCGTGGGAGTTCCAGCAACTGGGAATACCCGCCACCCTCATCGCCGATTCCGCAGCCGGAGTGTTGATGCAGCGGGGCGAGGTTTCCTGCGTAATCACCGGCGCGGACCGCGTCGCTGCCAACGGCGACACCGCCAACAAGGTGGGCACGTACACGCTGGCGGTGCTGGCCCATGAGAACGGCATCCCGTTCTACATCGCCGCGCCCACCAGCACCGTGGACCTGGCCATTGCCCACGGCGACGACATCGCCATCGAGGAGCGGCCCCAGCACGAGGTGACCGGCTACGGAGGCACTCCCATCGCCCCTGAAGGCACGCCGGCCTACAACCCGGCTTTCGACGTGACGCCGCACCGCTACATCGCCGGCATCGTCACCGAAACAACGGTGTGCCGACCGCCGTACACCGAATCGCTGCGGCAAGCGGTGGACGCTGCCTGACCTACATTTGTGGTCCGCGAGGATACGCAATCCGCGGAGAATGTGACTTATGACCATTGAACAACAAACACGCCTGCGCATGGCCCGCACCGGTCTCACCGCGTGTGACCCGGCACGCGCCTGCCCCGGCTACACCCTGTACGCGCCGATGTCCGGCAACGGCGAGCTCTACCTGCTGGACATCAACGGCCAGGAGGCTCACCGGTGGCAGATGCCCTACCCGCCGGGTCTCTACGGCTACCTGCTGCCCAACGGCAACCTGTTCTATGGCGGCAAGGTGCGGGACGACGGCGGCTGGGACACCTTCGAGGCGCTCAAGCGATTCAAGGGCGGCGTCATGCTGGAGGCGGACTGGGACGGCAACATCCTGTGGGAGCACCGCGACCCCTACCATCACCACGATGCGCGGCGCACCGAATCGGGCGGCTGCCTCTACATGACGGTCGAGCGCATGGACGACGCCCTCGCGGCCAGGATCGAGGGCGGCCAGCCCGGTTCCGAGGACCGTGAGGAATACACCGGAATGTGGAGCGACGTGCTGGTCGAAGTCGATGCCAACGGCAACCGGATATGGGAATGGCACGCCGCCGAACACCTGGACCCTGAAACCCACGTCATCAGCTTCAACGACCATCGGGACGAGTGGAGCCACGGCAACACCGTCGTGCCACTGCCCGACGACCGGGTGATGTTCAGCTTCCGCAACATCTCCACCGTGGGCATCATCGACAAGGCCAGCGGAAAAATCCAGTGGCAGATCGGCGATGCCGTGCTGGCGCAGCAGCACGACCCGTCGCTGCTGGACAACGGCAACGTCCTCATCTACGACAACGGGTCGCACAGTCGCCACAACCCGATGCCCCGATCACGGATCATCGAGGTGGACCCAACGACCAACGAGATCGTCTGGCAGTACCAGGACAACCCGCCCTTCAACTTCTTCAGCGCCTACATCTCCGGCGCGCGGCGGCTGCCCAACGGCAACACGCTGATCACCGAAGGCCACTTCGGGCGCATCTTCCAGGTCACCCCCGACGGCGACGTGGTGTGGGAGTACATCAACCCGCACTTCGCGCCCAACGAGCAGGGCTTCCTGGTCAACAGCGTCTTCCGCTCGACCCACTACCTGCCGGAAGCGGTCCCGCAGTTGAGTTGAGAGGGATCTCCGATGGCGGCCCGACAATCCGACGACGCGACGGGTGGCATGGCGGCGGTTGCCAGCCAGACCTACGGATACCACATTTCCACGCCTCGCATCGTTGTACTGTCGATCATCAGCTTCGGACTGTACCTTTTCTACTGGCTGTACCGGACGTGGGATCAGTACCGGGAGCACACTGGGGCAAACGTCCATCCGGTCTGGCACGCGCTGGCCATGCTGGTGCCGGTCTACGGGTGGTTCCGCTTCTACGCCCATTGCAAGGCGTACCGCGATCTCATGGAGGAGAACGGCGTCCCGCACAACCTGAACATGGCGCCGATCCTGGTGATTTTGATAATCGCCACGGCCGCGTGGAGCCCGGTGCCCACGCAGTGGCTGAACAACTACCTCGGCGAAAGTGGTATCAGCGTGATGATCGACCTGATCATGGACGGGGTCAGCCTGGCAGGCTTGCTGGTCGCGACCGTCGTAGTCTGCCGGGTCCAGGCGAACTTCAACCGTTACTGGGCCGCAGTCGACGGCGCGCTGACGTACCGGGCCAGATACGGCAAGGGAGCAGTGGCGCTGGCCGTTCTGGGCGCGATCCTGTGGTTTACAGTCGCCGGATACTACATCGGGTACTACCTCACCAACTAACCGACCACCCTCGGAACGCAGGAACAGCAAACACACCAATGACAGCTTGGCAACTGGACACCTACGGAGAAAGCGAGCCCTTCGCTGGAGACCTGGCGCGAGGCGCGTACATCTCCACGGCGCGCATCATCCTGATGTCCGTCATCAGCATGGGCGTCTATTGGATCTACTGGATGTACCGCACCTGGAAGCAGTACCGCGACCACACCATCGAGATGGCGGCGGAAAGCGGCGATACCCACCATCCCGTGTGGCACGGGCTGACCCAGCTGGTGCCGGTCTACGGGTGGTTCCGCTACCACGCCCACATTCGGCAGTACCAGGCGCTGATGGTGGAACAGGGAGTGCCCGACACCCTGAACCTGGGCCTGCTCACCACCGTGGTCGTCATCAACGGGATCGTGGGCATTGTTGCGGGAACCCTGCGGAGCCCCGAGCTGTACTCCGGCGCCGTGCTCCTGGCCGGCGTCATCCTCAGCATCATTACCCTGATCGTGGCCATCGTCGTCCTGTGCGTGATGCAGTCCAACCTCAACCGGTACTGGGCCAGCGTGGACGGCCGTCTCGAGCGGACCGCTCGTTTCGGCAAGGGCGAGGTGGTATGTGTCGTCCTGGGCGTCCTTTTCTGGGCCGGCGTCGTGGCCGACTTCATCTGGTCGTAACCGTCGCCATCTTTATCCAACCAACCCTCTCACATTCAGGGAAAGCACTTCAATGCCAAACCAACTACAAGCGGAAATCGCCATCATCGGCGGCAGCGGCCTGTACGAGATACAGGGCTTTGCCGAAACGGCCGTGGTCGATATCGACACGCCCTACGGCAAGCCCAGCGACGTCATCACGGTGGGAGAGTTATTCGACGTGCCGGTGGCCTTCCTGCCCCGGCACGGGCGGGGGCACCGGATCAACCCCTCGGAACTGCCCTTCCGCGCCAACATCTACGCGCTGAAGACCCTGGGCGTGAAGCGCATCGTGTCCGTCAGCGCGGTGGGTAGCCTGCAGGCGGACTACGAGCCGCAGCACATGGTGGTCCCCGACCAGCTGATCGACCGCACGCGCCGCCGCGACAGCACCTTTTTTGAAGACGGCGTCGTCGCCCACGTATCCTTCGCCGACCCCTTCTGCCCGGGTGTGAGCACCGTCATCGCCGACGGCGCTGCGGGCCAGGGGATCCCCACGCACCAGGGAGCAACGCTGGTGGTGATGGAAGGTCCAGCTTTCTCCACCCGCGCCGAGTCCAACATGTACCGCGCCTGGGGCGGCGACATCATCGGCATGACCACCCTGCCCGAGGCCAAGCTGGCCCGCGAGGCGGAGATGTGCTACGCCGTGATGGCATGGGTCACCGACTACGACTGCTGGCATCCCGACCACGACGACGTGACGGTGGAGATGGTGGTGGACAACCTCGTGGCCAACGTGGCCAACAGCCGGATCATCCTGAGGCACATCATGCCCGAACTGGCCGCGCTGGGCCCCTGCGACTGCCAGACGGCGTTGACCAACGCCATCATCACCGACCGGAGGCGCATATCCGAAGCGGCCTACCGTCGCCTGCACCCCATCGCCGGCACGCATCTTGATGTGCCAATGAATGCCTAGATTGCCGCTTTCGCGGGAACGACGTGAGAACCGCCAGGCGCAACGAGCAAGAACGCAGAGAATTACGAGCAGAACGTCACGCAGACGTGCCAACCCAAGGAGGTAACTGATATGCCACGCCAGAATCCAGGCGAACCCTATTCCCGGGTCGATTCCCCGGAAGCCCTGCAGATCCTGCAGGCCGACCCGGCAAACACCGTCGTGATCGACGTCCGCCGCAATGACGAGTGGGTCACCGGCCACGCCAGCGGCGCCATCCACATCAACGTGGACGACCTGGCCGGCCGCATGGACGAAGTGCCCGATGACAAGAAGCTGCTGTTCATCTGCGCCGCCGGCGTCCGCAGCGGCCTGGCCTGCGAGCTGGCCGCCGCCATGGGCTACGACTCGGAGATGCTCTTCAACGTCGACGACGGCACGCCCGCGTGGATCGCCGCCGGCAATCCCACGTCCTACGGAGACAATCCGTAACTAACCAGGCATCCGCCAGACTTCAACGCCGCCGTTTTTAACGGTACGGGAAACCCAGGTACGGGAAATCCAGATACGAGCAACCGAGGCTCTTTCATCGAGCGATTGCTGGAAATCCTCGCCGTCTCCCGGTTGGCGCACTAGAAACCACACCAACGAGAGGTACAACGATTTGACTGTTCAGAAAACCAAAGGCGACGTGAAAGACCTTTCCCTGGCCGGGGCCGGCGTGGACCGGATCCGCTGGGCCGCGCGTGAAATGCCGGTCGTAAACATGATCACGGAGCGGTTCCAGCAGGAGCAGCCCCTGGCCGGCATTCGGATGGCCGCGTGTCTCCACGTCACCACCGAGACCGCCAACCTCGCCATCGCGCTGAAGGCCGGCGGCGCCGATCTGGTCGTGTGCGCCAGCAACCCGCTGAGCACCCAGGACGAGACCGCCGCCGCGCTGGTGCAGGAGTATGGCATCCCCACCTACGCCATCAAGGGCGAGGACAACGCGACCTACTACCAGCACATCAACGCGGTGCTCGACTATGCCCCCATGGTCACCATGGACGACGGGGCTGACCTGGTGGGCATCCTCCACAAGGAGCGCAGCGACCTGCTGGCCAACGTCATCGCCGGCACTGAGGAGACCACCACCGGCGTGGTTCGCCTCACCGCCATGGCGGCCGATGGGCAGCTGAAATACCCCATCATCGCCGTGAACGAGGCCGAGACCAAGCACTTCTTCGACAACCGCTACGGCACCGGCCAGAGCACTCTGGACGGCATCACCCGCGCCACCAACATCCTTTGGGCCGGCCGGCGCGTGGTGGTCGGCGGCTACGGCTGGTGCGGTCGCGGCGTCGCCTCCCGCGCCCGCGGCATGGGCGCCCACGTCATCGTGACCGAGATCAACCCCGTGCGCGCCCTGGAGGCGGTCATGGACGGTTTCCAGGTTATGACCGGCCTCGAGGCCGCGAAGCAGGGCGAGGTGTTCATCACGGTGTCCGGCGGCTGGCACGTCATCGGCAAGGAACACCTCGCGGTCATGGCCGACGGCGCCATCGTCGCCAACAGCGGCCACTTCAACGTGGAGATCGACATCCCGGCGCTGGAAGCCATGGCGGTCAGCCACCGGGAGGTCCGGCCCTTCGTCGAGGAATTCCAGATCGCCGACGGGCGGCGCATCTACCTGCTGGGCGAAGGTCGCCTCATCAACCTGGCCGCCGCCGAGGGACACCCCTCCGCCGTCATGGACATGAGCTTCGCCAACCAGGCCCTCAGCGCCGAGTACCTGGTCAAGAACTACACCAGCCTGGGCAACGGCGTGCACGTGGTGCCCCGGGAAATCGACGCCGAGGTCGGCCGCCTCAAGCTGGAGTCCATGGGTATCACCATCGACACCCTAACGGCGGAACAGACCGCCTACAACGAAAGTTGGGAAGAGGGGACCTAAGCCTCACCAGGCCATCACCCGTGGGGGCGGACATTATTCGCCCCCGCATCCCAGACCATCACAAACTCCGGAGGAAACGAACAATGCCAATCCGCTTCATGACATCGCCCAAGTACCTGCTCACCTCCGAGTCGGTTACCGAAGGGCACCCCGACAAGGTATGCGACCAGATTTCCGACGCTGTGCTGGACGCCGCCTTCAGCGTGGACCCCATGAGCCGAGTTGCCTGTGAGACTGTCGCCGGGAAGAACCTGATCATGATCACCGGCGAGATCACCACGGCAGCCGACCTGGACTTTGACGCCATCGCCCGCGAGACCCTGCGGGAAATCGGCTACACGGACCTCAAGTACGGCATCGACGGGAATTCCTGTGGCATCATCCGCAACGCCAGCAGGCAGTCGCCGGACATCAACGCCGGCGTGAGCACCGCGCTGGAAGCCCGCAGCAATGGCTCCGGCGCCGACGCGCGCCGCGCCACCGGCGCCGGCGACCAGGGCATGATGGTCGGATTCGCCTGCAACGAGACCGACGGCCTGATGCCCCTTACCGTAGACCTGTCCCACCGCCTGGTGGAGCGTCTCGCCGCCGTGCGTAAGGACGGCACGCTGCCCTACCTGGGTCCCGACGGGAAGTCCCAGATCACCGTGGAATACCGCTACGGCAAGCCCCATCGCGTGGATGCGGTGGTCATCAGCAGCCAGCACGACGACACCGATGACCGCGAGGGCTTCACCGCGAAGATCCGCGCCGACGTCATCGAGCACGTGATCAAGCCCATCGTGCCCGCAGAGCTACTGGACGCAGACACCAAGTACTTCGTGAACCCCAGCGGCTGGTTCGTAGTTGGCGGACCCCAGGGTGACAGCGGCCTGACCGGACGCAAGATCCTGGTGGACACCTATGGCGGTATCGCCCGCCACGGCGGCGGCGCCTTCTCCGGTAAGGATCCGACCAAGGTGGACCGCTCCGGCGCTTATGCTGCCCGCTACGTCGCCAAAAACCTGGTGGCCGCCGGGTTCGCGGATCGGCTCGAAGTGCTGGTTTCCTACGCCATCGGCGTCGCGGAGCCGACTTCCGTTGCCGTCGAGACGTTCGACACCAACCACATCCCCAACGAGCGGATCGAGGAACTGGTGAGCGAGCACTTCGACCTGCGCCCCGGCGCGATCATCGAGGACCTGCAGCTGCGGCAGCCCATCTATCGCAAGACCGCTGCCTACGGCCACTTTGGCCGCAAGGACCTGGACCTCCCCTGGGAGCGCACCGACAAGGCCGAAGCCCTGAAGCAGGCGGCCGGGGCCGTCGCCACCGCCGGCGACTAGTTCTCCGAGTTCTCAGGCCGACCCGCCTGTTTGCGCCCCTTTCCAATGTTGGAAAGGGGCGTATTGCTGCCTCCGGGCGTGTGATCTCGCTGACGCCTCCGGCAATAGGCTCACGATCTCAGGCGTACCCACTTGCGCTCAATCCGTCATTGCGAGCGAAGCGTGGCAATTCCGTCGAGCCCATGCAGCCCTCACGAGATTGCCGCGTCGCTGCGCGCCTGGCAATGACAAACGGGGTACGAGTGAGGCTCGCGATTCGTTGAAACCGGTGCCCCGTTATGTCCCGATCTTGGTGAGCTCGCGTCTAGAATTGTCATACTCCTTCACGGGAGCACACTACGCTTGGTGATTTAGCGGTATTTCATGGATAGTATTGTTCCTCTGCGCCGGTTCGCCTCCTGGCTTATTGACCGTTTATTGTTTCTGGGCGGCGGTATCGTCGTTGTCCTGATTATCCGGGAGCTGGGCTCTCCTGGTCCCGATACCGTAGATTTTGACGTCTACGATTTCCTGGCAATACACGTACCGCTGGGTCTGCTGATCACCTACATCCTTTGGTTCGGCGTCATCATCAAGTTCGGGCCGCCGGGGCGTCGTCTCACCGGAACCGACGTGCGGCGGCGGCGTGGCGGCAACGCGAGCTGGTGGATGAAACTGATCCGCGCCGCAGTGAAGTTCCTGCTGCACCTCACCCTGATCGGCTTCTTCGTCGACGCAATCTTCATCCTGAAGGACCGCAACGAAAGAAGGTCGATACCGGACCGCGTCGCCGGCACCGTGATCGCCCGCCACCGCTGGCGCTGACCCCCGGTGCTATAATCCCGTCATGGCATCCCCAATCAAGTTCGGCACCGATGGCTGGCGCGGGATAATCGCCGACGATTTCACCTTCGCCAACGTGGCGCGCTGCTCACAGGGGCTGGCCGACTACCTGCGGGTGGATGGGGACGGCCGGGAACGGCCTGGTGGTGGGATACGACACCCGTTTCGCGTCGCGGGAGTTCGCGGAGACCGTGGCCTCGGTGATAGCGGGAAACGGCATTGCGGTTCGCCTGTGCCGGGAACCGATGCCGACGCCCGTGGTCAGTCATCAGGTTGTGCGCAGTGGCGCCGGCGGTGGCGTGGTGATTACGTCCAGTCACAATCCGGCGGCATGGAGCGGGCTCAAGTTCAAATCGGCGCAAGGTGGCAGCGCCAGCCAGGCCACGACCGACGTGCTGGAACTGTGCATCCAATCGGCGCGGCCGCCGCGGACCATCACCCTGGATGCCGCTCGCGACGCCGGCCTGGTCGAGGATATTGATCCCGCCCCGGCATACCGCGAATCCGTCACCGGCCTGGTCAATTTGGACGTCATCCGGGCCGCCGGACTTGAAGTGATCGTGGACGCCATGCACGGGGCCGGCGCCGGTTTCATACCCGGGATGCTGAAAGGCGGGACCACGACCGTCACGGAGCTGAGGGCCGAGGTGAACCCGTCGTTTCCCGGCATGGCGCAGCCGGAGCCCATCGCGCGCAACCTGGGCGAGCTGTGTCGCCGTGTGCCTCGAGACGGCGCGTCGGCCGGCCTTGCCCTGGACGGCGACGCGGATCGCATCGGCCTGGTGGACGAGAACGGGCGGTTCGTCAGCACGCTGGAGGTGTTCTCGCTGCTCGCCCTGTACCTGCTGGAGCGCGGCGACCACGGCGCGCTGGTGAAGGGTGTGACGGCCTCGGTGATGCTGAACAAGCTGGCGCAGCGGTACAGCGTGGACATCGCGGAGATGCCGGTGGGGTTCAAGAACATCGGTCCGCGCTTCCTGGCCGACAACGCTTTGCTGGGCGGAGAGGAGAGCGGCGGCTACGCCTTTCGCGGCCACATTCCCGAGCGGGACGGGATATTGAGCGGGTTGCTGCTGCTCGAATACATGGCCGTCGCCGGTCTGACCGCCTCCGGCATGGTGCGCCACCTTTTCGATCTCGTCGGCGAGCATCGCTACGAGCGGCGGGACATCGGCTTTGACCCGGCGCAGCGCGGACCCATCATGGGCCGGCTTGCCGGTGAACCATTGAGCGAACTGGCAGGAATGCCCATCCGCGGGATCGACGAAATCGACGGCCGCCGCTGGATGCTGGACGCCGGCTGGGTCGCCGCCCGTTTCTCGGGAACCGAGCCACTGCTGCGGATCTACTGCGAAGCCGACACAACAGCCAACGTGACCCGCCTGCTGGACGCGATGCAGGCGCACCTGGGCGTCTGAAAGGACCGGCCATGCTGCCCTCCCGTTTCACTGACATGCTGGGACTATCGCTCCCGGTGATGAATGCACCCATGAGCAACCACAGCGGCGGCCAACTGGCGGCGGCGGTGTCGAAGGCCGGCGGCCTCGGCACCTTCGGCGGCAGCACCGGATGGGGACCGGATTGGCTGCGGGAGGAGATGAAACACATCAGGGCGACCACCGACCAGCCCTTTGGAGTGGGCTTCATCACCCAGCTCATAGAGCCCGATCCGGAGAACTTTGAGGTTGTTCTGGAGGAGAATGTTCCGGTGGTCATCTTCTCCTTCACCGACCCGGAGCCGTGGTTGAGCCGCGCCCGAGACGCCGGGGCGATTACGATCTGCCAGGTCCAGTCGTTGGAGTTGGCCCGGGTAGCTGCCGACGCCGGGGCGGACGTGCTGATGGCGCAGGGCAACGAGGCTGGCGGACACACCGGCGGGATGAACCTGCTGCCCCTGCTGGTGGCCGTGGTGGAGGAGTATCCCCATCTTCCCGTGCTGGCCGCGGGAGGCATCACCACGGGACGGGCCCTGGCAGCGGTGCTTGCCGCCGGCGCGGAGGGCGCCTCACTGGGCACGGCCCTGCTGGCCACGCCGGAGGCGGTGGAGGTGCCCGAGGCGTTCAAGGAGCGGATCGTGCTATCGGACGGTCAGGATACGACCTTCACCCGGCTGTACGACCTGCTGGGAACCACACCCTGGCCGAATGGGATCGCCGGGCGGGTGTATCGCAACCGGCTGGTGCGCGAGTGGGACGGCCGGGACGAAGCCATACTGGAGCGCCGGGAAGAACTGGCCTCGGACGTGATGGCAGCCCGCGAGCTGCAGGACCCCGAAATCTCGTCCGTTTACATGGGGCAGGGCGCCGGCGCAATCAACGCCATTCGCCCCGCCGCCGAGGTGGTGGAAGGCATCTGTCGGGACGCGGAACGCGTCTTGCTGTCCTTGAGAGGGTAATAGCGCCGGGTTCCCTGGAAACCAAGTTTCCTGGAGAACAAGTGGACATCGTCGCCATCACGTCGGTCGCCGGTCTGATCGAACCGATAGGCTATTCGCAACGTACCAATTAGTGAGGTCTAGCCATGGAATACGCCAGCCCAATACGCCGGATGTTCGCCACCATTCTTGACGGTATTCTATTTTTCCTCACGCTGATTATTGGCTATATCATCTGGTGGTTGATCGTTTTGGGACGTGGGCAGACTCCCGGCAAGCAGCTGTTGGGTATCCGGGCGGTGAAACGCGACGGCGGTCCGGGCGGCTGGGGCACCACCTTCGTGCGTGAGGTGGTCAAGGTTGTAGCCCACTCGTTCGTCATCGGCTTCTTCGCCGATGCGATTCTGCTACTGATCGACGACGACGAGCACCGCTCGCTGTCGGATCGGCTGGCCGATACGGTAATCGTGCGCAACACGCAACGCATCGTCTAGTTGGACTAACAAGACCGCATCCGATTTATCCGCGTTGATTGACGCTGCGGATCGTCATAAATGAACGGAACAACCACTCTCCGGGGTGAACGCCATGACGACTCCTGTCGAAACTCCGACCACTGCCACCACCCTATGGGACCGTCTTCCCGTGAGCCGCAGCGTCGTGCTGGCGGCGCTGATTGCTGCCGTCGCCTACGCCATAGCCATCGTGGGCGCCCTGCTGTTACGGAGCACCGAGGGCATAGACGGCGTGAACCGGTTCGTTGAGTTGCTGTCCGGCTCGTCGGGGAGCGGCCTCAGCAACGCGGGTATCAAGCTGGGGTTTGCTTACGCGGTGGGAGCTGCCTCTGCGGTCAACCCGTGCGGGTTCGCCATGCTGCCCGCCTACCTCGGCCTGTACGTGAGCGGCGGCAGCGGGGAGCGCGAGAATCGCCGGCCGATCGTCCTGGTCGCCCGGGCAATCATGGTCGGCCTCACGGTTTCTGCGGGATTTGTGGTGCTGTTCGGGCTGGTGGGCCTGGTCCTGGGGTTCGGTTCCCAGGCCATCGTGGTGGCCGCGTTGCCGTACGTCGGGCTCGCGATCGGGGTGTTGCTGATCGGCGCCGGCGCTTTCATGGCCAGCGGCGGCAAGATCTACACCAGCCTGGCCCAGCGGGCGGCTTCGCGCATCGGCGATCCGTCGCAAACCAACCTGCCCGGCTACCTGCTGTTCGGGATCAGCTACGGACTGGCGTCCCTGAGCTGCACGCTGCCGCTGTTTCTGGCGGTGCTGGGCGTGGGCGCGGGCCTGTCGTCGGGATGGCTGGACACGCTGGGACAATTCGTGCTTTACGCGGCCGGCATGGGCAGCGTCATCATGGCGCTGACGCTGGGCATGGCCCTCGCCCGTTCGGTGATGGTCCGGTGGCTGCGGGCGATCCTGCCCTACGTGGGCGTCGTGGGAGCCTGGTTGATGGTGGTAGCCGGCGTGTACATCATGTTCTACTGGCTGACCATCGGGCGGGACCTGTTCTGAAATGACGAACCCCTCGGCTCATTACCGAGGGGTCATCACCGAGGGGTTCACGTCGCAGGTGGCGGATTCGTCAGGACGGGATGGTGAAGACGGTCCTGCCGTCGGCGTCGTGGGTGTGGTTCGCCAACCCGACCAGTATCCGGTTGGTCTGCTGGAGTTCCGCGTGCAACTCATTGAGGGCTGCGGTTAAGGTGTCAACCTTCCCGTTCAGTGTGGCAATTCCGGCTGCCTGGTTATCAACCTTCTCACCCAGTATGGCGATGCCGGCTGCCTGGTTATCAACTTTCCCGTTCAGGGTGGCGATGCCCGCTGCCTGGTTATCAACTTTCCCGTTCAGGGTGGCGATGCCGGCTTCCTGATTATCAACTTTCCCGTTCAGGGTGGCGATACCCGGCTTCCTGGTTTTCCACCTTGTTGATCAACCTGCCCAGCAGATAGCTGCCTCTCACCAGTAGCACGATCACCGTCAGAGCAAACGATGCCCCGGCGATGAAGACTGCGATTTCAGCCGCGCCCATCAACTTCCTCGATATTGCTGCGAGTAGCTACGCCTTACCGCTTGGTGTACTGCGGGGCCCGGCGGGCGCGCTTCAGTCCGTACTTCTTGCTTTCCTTGACCCGCGCGTCCCGGGTGATGAAGCCGGCGCGGCGCAGGCTGGACTTCAGGTTGGGATCGAACACCACCAGCGCGCGGGAAATGCCGTGACGGATGGCCTCGGCCTGGGCGTTGACGCCGCCGCCGTACACCTTGGCCATGACGCGAAAGCGGCCAACGGTTCCTGATGTCGCGAAGGGCTCCCGAACGGTGGACTGCCAGGGCAGCCAATTGAAGTAGTCCTCCATTGGCTTGTCGTTAACGATGATTGCGGTGCCATCGTCCGGATAAATGCGCACCTTGGCGATGGCTCTCTTGCGACGGCCCGTCCCGTAGAAGTACTGCGATTGCGGTTCTGCTTGCGTCACCATATTGGTCTGTTACCTGCCTTGCGTTGGCGATTGTCTGAAAGCAATTGCGAAGCTATTGGGCGCTGCCCACCTGCGCTTCGTGGGGATGCTGGTCGCCGGCGTAGATGCGCAGACGGCGGAGCATGTGCCGGCCCTGCTTGTTGGATGGCAGCATGCCCTTGACTGCAAGCTGCACCACCCGGTCCGGGCGCTCCTCCATCATGTCCCGCATGAGGAACGACTTGAGGTTGCCCACGTAGCCGCTGTGGCGGTAGTACATCTTTTGCGTCAACTTGCGGCCGGTGATGCGGACCTTGTCGGCATTGATAACCACCACGTGACACCCGGTGATGACGTGTGGGGTGTACATGGGCTGGTCCTTGCCCTGGAGAGCCACGGCCACCTGCCGGGCCAGCCGGCCCAGGCTGATGCCGGTCGCATCTATGACGCGCCAGCTATCCGGCACGTCACCGGCTTTGGCGAAATAAGTGCTAGTTCGTTTCATGGTAACTGGCTACCTTTAGCAGATGATTGAATTCGGGGTAGTGCACCGACCGCAGACACAGTCCCTTTGCGGGGAGGGTGGAGACGCCGTGCAGTTTTTGAGTTCGGCCCGCCAGGGCATCGGCCGTGGCGTGAATGGGCAATCGTCCTTTTCCTATCTCCACCAATATCGCGTTGGCTCTCCTGATTTGATGCCGCAGGAACCCATTGGCCGCACAATCTATCACAATGACATCCTGGTCGTCGCTCTGGCGTTTCACGTCCCACCGGAACACCTGGCGTACCGCGCTCTGGTCGGCGGGGTGCGCCGTGGCGATCTGCCGGAAATCCCGAATGCCCAGCAGGCTGTGGGTCGCCATCTGCATCGCGTCGAGGTTCAACGGTTTCGGCTCTGCGTGGTGGCTGCGCCGCAGGAAAGGGAAAGGTACGGATCGGTTGGCGATGCTGTACCGGTAGTCCCGTCTCGTGGCGCTGCGCCTGGCGTGGAATTCCGCGGGCACGTCGCTGGCAGTTACTATGCGAATATCATCCGGCAGGTGGTGGTTCATTGCCGCAACTACCACGTCGGTTCCGTGCGTGGTGTCGGTAACAAGGTCAACCACCTGACCAATGGCATGGGCGCCGGAGTCGGTGCGACTGGCTCCTCGTACCCTTGCGTGTTCCCCGGTAAGACGATTGAAAGCTTTTTCCAACTCTCCCTGGATCGTCGGAATGTCGGCTTGAAGTTGAAAGCCGGCGTAGTTGGCGCCTTCGTATGCGACCACCAGGGCAATGCGCCGTTGCGCTTCGTCGCCGCTGCGTCGGGATGTCATGCGGTTATTGGGGCAATGGCAATTCCTCAATCGGTGTTGTCACGCCCGTGCTACACGAGTTCAATAACGGCCATCGACGCGCCGTCGCCCTGGCGGGGTCCCAGCTTGATGATGCGGGTGTAGCCGCCGGGTCGTTCAGCGTAACGGGGGCCGAGTTCGTCAAACACCTTGGCCACGACATCCTTCTGAGGAAGTCTGCTCAGGGCGGTCCGCCGGTTGTGCAGGGTTCCCTTTTTCCCGTGGGTAATGATCTTTTCGGCCATCACGCGGGTTTCCTTGGCCTTCGCCAGGGTGGTAGTGATACGTTCGTGCCGTATCAGGTCCGCGGTGAGGCCCCGCAGCAGCGCCTTGCGTTGGTCTTTGTACCGGCTGAGTTTGCGGCCGGCGACGCGATGGGATGACATGACTAATCACCGTTGTCGTAGTCGTATTCTTCGTCTTCAGGGTCAAACACCAGAGGAACGTCGGGATCGTCCAGCCCTTCGTCGTCCAGGTCAGGACCGGCTTCACTGGCGGCCTGGCTGACCCGGGACGAGCTGACGCCCAACTCCGCAAGTTTGGCCTGCAATTCTTCCAGCGACTTTTGCCCGAAGTTGCGGATGTTCAACAGTTCGTCCGAACTGAGGTCCAGCACCTGTCCCACTCGATCGAGCTTGGCCCGCTTCAGGCAATTGAGGGTGCGCGAAGACAGGTCCAAACGTTCGATGGGCATCAGGTAGACTTCCGAGGCAACGGACAGATTGCCCGTGTCCAGCGGAGCGTCGGCGGGCCGGCTGAGCTGGTTGAACATGAAGAAGTGCTGGACGAGGTTCTCTGAGGCTTCCTGGATGGCGGCCAGGGGGCTCACGGCTCCGTCAGTCCATACCTGCAGGATCAGCCGCTCCCAGTCGGTCTGCTGGCCGACCATCATCCGTTCCACCGAGTATTCCACCTTGCGGACGGGGTTGTAGATGGCGTCCACCGGCAGCACACCCACCGGCAGACCGGCCATGCTGTCGCCCTGGGCCACCTGCTGGTAGCCCTTGCCCGGTTCCACGTTGAATTCGATGGACAGGGACACGTCCGGGTTGTCCAGCGTGGCCAGGTGCAGTTCGGGGTTGACTATCTGGTAGTCGCTGGCCACCGCGATATCGCCGGCGCAGACCCGGCCCTCGCCGGTCACGTCGAGGCGCATCTTGCCGGTGCGCTTGGAGAGGGCGTTGATGCGGATACGCTTGACGCTGAGAAGAAGGTCCATGACCTCTTCCTTCACGCCGGGTATCACGGTGTATTCGTGGGGCACGCCTTCAATCTTCACCCAGGTCACGGCGGTTCCCTGGATGGAGCTGAGCAGCAACCGGCGAAGCGGGTTGCCCACGGTGGTGGCATATCCCCGTTCCAGCGGTTCCAAGGCGACGCACGCGAAGGTATCGTTGCTGTCGATCACCCGGATGGACGGGGAAGGAATTTCGGGTTCTGGATCCCGCAATGGCGGGAGAATCTGAGGATCTAACATGCCGCAGGTTACCTTGAGTAGAACTCGACGATCAGGCGGGAGTTGATGGTTTCGGGCAGTTCGTTGTCCGGCGGCATTGAGATCACCTGACCTTCCATTTGGGTCAGGTCGAGGGTCAGCCAGCTGGGGAGGGTGCGCTTGGGCAGCCCGTCGGTGCGGTCGGCGAAGAACTCGCGTTTGCGAGACGTTTCCGTCCAGGATACGCTCTGTCCCGCCTTGACCAGGAAGGAGGGGATGTCGGTCTTGCGGCCGTTGACGTTGAAGTGGCCGTGCTGGACCATCTGGCGGGCCTGTTTGCGCGAATCGGCAAACCCCAGCAGATAGACCACGTTGTCGAGACGACGCTCCAGGGTGCGGAGCAGGTTGTTGCCGGAGATGCCCGGCGTGTTGAACGCGTCGGTCATGTACTTCCGGAACTGACTTTCCATCACGCCGTACATCTGGCGGGCCTTCTGTTTCTCCCGTAGGTGCACGCCGTAGTCGGACACGCGCCGCCGGCGCTGTCCACCACCTCCGGGCGGGATATGGCGGCGCTCGATGGCGCAACGCGGTGAAAAGCAGCGGTCGCCTTTCAGGAAGAGCTTTTCGCCGGCGCGGCGGCACAGGCGACACGATGGTCCGGTATATCTACCCATGTTGGTCTTTCCGTTAGTGGTGTGGGGAGTGACGTTGCGAAATTAGACCCGGCGGCGCTTTGGCGGACGGACACCGTTGTGGGGGATGGGAGTCACGTCGCGAATGCTGTTGACGTTGAGGCCCGCTCCCTGCAAAGCCCGAATAGCGGGTTCGCGTCCGGAGCCAGGGCCTTTGATGTACACGTCAATATTGCGCATGCCCATGTCCACGCCGCGACGTGCGGCCTGTTCGGCGGCTCGCTGCGCGGCAAAAGCCGTGCCCTTGCGTGATCCGCGGAAGCCGGCGGTGCCCGCGCTGGTGGACGCCACGACGTTTCCGTCGGGGTCGGTCAGGCTGACCAGCGTGTTGTTGAATGTGGAGTAGATGTAAGCGCGCCCCTGGGGAATGGAGCGTCGCTCACGACGTCGTGCGCGTGGTCGGGGCATTGGTTTTTACCTCTTCAAAGTTCCTGGTATGGCAGAACGCAGTCCGACGCTGACGGTCAAGATTACTTCTTTCCGCCGGTGCGACGACCGCGGCCGGCCACGGTGCGCCGGGCGCCCTTTCGGGAGCGGGCGTTAGTGCGGGTGCGCTGGCCGTGAACCGGCAGGTTCCGGCGATGGCGCAGCCCCCGGTAGCTGCCGATGTCGATCAGCCGGCGAATATTCTCGTTGTGTTCGCGGCGCAGATCGCCTTCGGTGATGTAGTCCTGGTCGACGATGACGCGAATGCGGTCAACTTCGATCTCGGAGAGTTCATTCATGCGCGGCGGCATGTCGGTATCCAGGTTAGCCTTGCCGACAATTTCGATAGCCTTGGCGGGGCCAATGCCATAGATGCTACGCAGGGCAATGTGGGCGCGCTTGCGGTCGGGTACGTCGACTCCAGATATTCGGACCATGGTTACGCTCCTGAACTTTGGTTGCGGTCGTGGAACGGGCTGACCGGTCTGTGCCAGGTCGAGCTATCCCTGCCGCTGCGCGTGCTTGCTGTTTACGCAGATGATGCGTACCGCGCCCTTGCGCCGGATCACCCGGCAACGGTCGCAGCGTGGCTTCACGGATGCGGACACTTTCATGAATATACTCCGCGGCTGTGGCTACTTGAAGCGATAGGTGATGCGGCCTCGGGTCAGATCGTAAGGAGACAGCTCCACCAGCACCCGGTCGCCCGGCAGCACCCGAATGAAGTGCATGCGGATCTTGCCGGATATGTGCGCCAGAACCTTGTGCTCGTTGGGCAGTTCCACCCGGAACATGCCGTTGGGCAGGGCTTCGGTTACCTGCGCCTCAACTTCAATCGCTTCTTTCTTTGCCATAAACCTTCCTGCTTTCGCCCCGTTTGGCCCGTGGCCGGGCTGCCGGCGGCGCGTGTGTCGCTAGTCGTGCATCGTCAGTATCTTGGGACCGTCCGCGGTGATGGCCAGGGTGTGCTCAAAGTGAGCGGACAACGCACCGTCGGCGGTGACCACCGTCCAGTCGTCGCCCAGTATGGTGGTGTTTTCGGTGCCCATGTTCAGCATGGGCTCAATGCAAATGCACATGCCCGGCCGCAGCAAAACGCCCTTGCCGGCCTCGCCGTAATTCGGGACCTGCGGGTCCTCGTGGAGGTAGCGACCCACACCGTGGCCGACGAACTGCCGGACCACGCCGTAGCCGCGCGGTACGGCGTATCCCGATACGGCGGCTCCGATGTCACCAATCCGATTGCCCGGCTGAGCCGCGGCGATCCCGGCGTACAGGCTCGCCTCCGTATCGTCCATGAGCTTTTGGGTGTCGCCGGTCACCTCGCCGACCGCCACCGAAATGGCTGCGTCGCCAATGAAACCGTCGATGGTTGCTCCCACGTCCATCTTGATGATATCGCCCTCTTTCAGTACCCTTTTGCCAGGAATGCCGTGGACGATTTCCTCGTTGACCGAGGCGCAGATGGCGGCGGGGAACCCGTGGTAGCCGATGAAGGTGGGCACTGCGCCCATGCTGCGGATGTTCTTGTCCGCAATGCGGTTGAGGTCACCCGTGGTCATGCCGGGCTCAACCGAATTCTTGAGGAGCGTCAGGGTCGCGCCCACAATGGCGCCGGCCCGCTCCATGGCCTCCATCTCCCGGCGGGATTTGATGGTTATCCCTCCGCTGTACGAAGAGGGAGAATTGGAGGCGGTTTTGCGTTTGGGGGTGTGTTCCACCATTATGATTATACCTGAGCCGCTATGATTTTGAAACCGCGCCAACGTCGGCCAAGCCCAGTATCCGCAACACCGAGTCAAGCACCGCGTCGATTGGCCGCTCTCCGGGGATGTCGGCCAGCAGGCCGCGTTGCCGGTAGAACTCCAGGACCGGAGCGGTCTCCTGGTGGTAAACGGACAGGCGATTGGCCACCGCTTCCTCGGTGTCGTCGTCTCGTTGGTAGATGTCGCCGCCGCCGGTACACTCCGCGCATCGCGCCGGGGGAGCGCCGGTGACGGTGTCGCGTGAGTAGGGCCGCTGGCAAACCCGGCAGACGTAGCGGCTGCTCAGTCGGCGGATCAATTCGTCGTCCGCGACCTGGAGGTGTATCACCCGGTCGAGCCGCTGGCCCCGTTCTCGCAGCGCCGTTTCCAGGGCCGCCGCCTGGGTGGTGTTGCGCGGGAATCCGTCCAGCATGAAACCGCACCTGTCCGCGATCCGGCCGATCCGGTCCATGACCATGCCGATGGTGACCTGGTCGGGCACCAGCTCACCCCGGTTCATGTAACCCCGGGCCAGCTCGCCCAGTTCCGTGCCGTTGGACAGGTGGTTCCGGAAGAGATCTCCGGAGCTGATGTGCTCGATACCCAGGCGTTCCTTGAGCAACTGGGCCTGCGTGCCCTTTCCCGCACCCGGCGGGCCAAAGAGAACCAGGCGGATGCCGCTTCTTTCGGTCATCTCAGGAAACCCTCATCTCAGGAACCCCTCGTAATTGCGCATCATGAGCTGGGCTTCCAGCTGCCGCAGGGTGTCCAGGCCCACGCCGACCATGATCAGGAGGCTCGTGCTGCTGAGCGCGATGGCTTCCACATTGGTGACCAGGGATGCAATGTAGGGCACGATGGCGATGAAGCCAAGGAACAGCGCGCCGCCCATGGTGAGGCGGATGATTACCCGGTTGAGGTAATCCTGGGTGGGCCGGCCCGGCCGGATGCCCAGAACGAACCCTCCGTTGCGCTGCAGGTTTTCGGCGATGCTCTGCTGCTGGAACACCACCAGCGTGTAGAAGAAGGTGAACGCCACCACCAGAACGAACGCCAGCACCCAGTAGATGGGGCCGCTGGGACTGAGGGCAACCTGCAGGTTATCGGCAATGTTGCCGACAAATCCACCGGCGGAACTGAGGTACTGGGCCACGGTCCCCGGCAGGATCACGATGGAGAACGCGAATATCAACGGGATCATGCCGGCCGAGTTGATACGCAGCGGGATGTACGTGGACCCCGACTGGCGGTACATCTGCCCGCCTCTGAAAATGCTGCGGCCGTACTGGACCGGTATGCGGCGGTGCGCCTCGTTGAACACCACGATCAGGGCGATGATCAGCAGCCCGATCAGGGCAAAGAAAAACACGCCGATGATGTTGTCGCGGTCCAGGAAGCTGGTGGCCAGCAGCCCCGGGAACCCCACCACGATGCCGGCGAAGATGATGAGCGAGATGCCGTTGCCGATGCCGCGCTCGGTGATCAGTTCTCCCAGCCAGACCAGGAACATGGTGCCGGCGGTCAGGGATAGGACGGCGGCCATTGTCGGCAGGAGAGAGTCTCCGGCGAACCCGACGTTGGCGAGTACCCCCGCCTGTTGCAGGAGCACCATCTGCGCGAACGCCTGGGCGATGGCAATGGGAACCGTCCCCCAGTGGGTGATGCGGTTCATCTTGACGCGCCCGGCTTCACCTTCCCGCGACAGGTTCTGCAACTGCGGAATCACCGGAGTGAGCAGCTGCATGATGATGGACGCCGTGATGTACGGGAACACCCCCAGCGCCACGATGCTCATTCGACTGAGCGCTCCGCCGGAGAACAGGTCCAGGAAGCCCAGGAGCGGGTTGCCTTCGAACAGCTGCTGCAGCGCGGCGAGGTCCAGGCCGGGTATGGGAATATGGGCGACCAGCCGGTACAGGGCCAGCATCGCCAGGGTGAAAAGGATCTTCGTCCGGAGATCGGGCAGGCTGAAAGCGTCGATCGCCGCCTGCACCAAGCGTGGCCATCGACCTCCTGCCTGCGCCTCAGTCTGTATCATGGCGCGTCTTGCCCCGTGCGTCCCAACCGTTTCCCGGAGCTAGAGCTCGGTTACGGATCCGCCGGCCGCTTCGATCTTGGCCCGGGCTGAGGCGGTGAACTTGTGCGCGGCCACGGTCAGCGGCTGCTGCAATTCTCCGTCTCCCACCACCTTCACCGGCAGCTTCGTGCGCCGGATGATGCCCAGCTCATGCAGCAGTTCCGGCGTGACTTGCGTGTTGGCCTCGAAACGCTCTTGCAGCGTATCCAGGTCCACCAGCGCATAGTAGGTCTTGTAGCGGTTGTTGAACCCGCGCTTCATGGGCAGACCCTTGATCAAGGGCATTTGACCGCCCTCGAAGCCGGGTCGCAGGCCGCGACCGGAGCGGGATTTCTGTCCCTTCATACCCCGGCCGGCGGTGCTGCCGCCTCCGGCGGCGTCCCCTCGGCCAACGCGCTTTCGGGCGCGCCGTGCGCCTTTGGGTGACGCGATGTCGTGTTCCATCATGGTGGCTATCGCTCCCTAATCTATCGGATCGGGTGTTATTCGACCGGCTCGACGGTCAAGAGGTGCTGCACCTTGTTGACCATGCCCAGGATGGTTGGGCTGTCCTCATGGACGACCGAGTGGTTCAGCCGTTTGAGCCCCAATGATTGCACGATCCGACGCTGGTAGGACGGACGCCCGATGCAGCTTTTCTTCCAGGTGATTTTGATTTGCGCCATTTGCCTATTACCTGCCGCCTGCCGTTTAGGGCACGCGGGGAGAACTTGCGTGATTACGACTGTTGGTCGGCCGCTTCAGCCGGAGGAGCTTCCACGGGAGGGGGTTCAGAGGGAAGAGCTTCGCCGGCGGGTTCCGCTGCGGCCGAGGCCGCTTCGGCGATCGCAGCGTCCGTGGGCGCCGTGGGCGGGTCATGTGCCACCGGCGTCGCTATTTCAGGGGTTGCCACGGCGGCAGGAGCGGGCGCTTCAGCCGCCGGCACAGCGGGTTCGCTGGCCGCAGCCTCGGGAGCCGCGCGCCGTGCGGGGCCGCCGCTGGCGGTGGGGCGGCTGCCGCTGGCGGGGCAGCCGGCGCCGGAGCGGTTGCTGGCGCCGGCGTTTCGGTCGCGCCGTTCGCGCTTGGCGCGTTCAATCCCAGCCGGTTGGCGCGTTCCGTCACCGGGTCACGCAACTGCCTGAGAGCTTCCATGGTCGCCTGCACGATGTTGATGGGGTTGCGGGACCCTAGCGATTTGCCCACCACATCTTGCACGCCGCCCAACTCCAGCATCGCGCGCATTGCTCCGGCAGCGATGATGCCCGTTCCCAGGGGAGCCGGCTTGATGATGACGATGGACGCGCCCTTGCGGACGGAGATTTCGTGAGGGATGGTGCTGCCCTTAATGGGGATATTGATGGTGCTCCGTCGGGCTACCGCGGTGCCTTTGCGCACTGCGTCGGGAATGGCCAGCGCCTTCCCCATGCCGACGCCCACGCGCCCCTGGCCGTCTCCGACCACCACCAGCGCGTTGAACCGCAGCCGGCGTCCGCCCTTGACCACTTTGGCGATGCGGCGGGTGTGGACCACTCGCTCATTCAAGCCGCCGCTGTCGTCGTCGCGCTGCCGCTGGTCACGGTCGCGACCACGGCCACCACGGCCTCCGCGGCGATCCGGGCCGCCTTCGCCGCCTCCGCCGGGGGGACCGCCCCTGCCGGGGGGACCGCCCCTGCCGGGGGGACCGGTTCTGGGCCCTCTACGTGTTGCTGGAGAAACCATCAGAATACAAGCCCTCCTTCGCGGGCGGCGTCGGCCAGGGCCTTGACCCGACCGTGGAACCGGTAGCCACCCCGGTCAAACACCACGGAGGTAACTCCGGCAGCGACGGCGCGCTCTGCGACCAGCTTGCCAACGGCGGCAGACGCCGTCGTCTTGGGCGTCGCTGCTTCACCGTCGACCTCGTGGCTGGACGCGTGGGCCACCGTGTGGCCTTCCACGTCATCTATTATCTGTGCGTAGATGCCCTTCAGGCTGCGGAAAACGCAAAGGCGCGGCCGTTGGGGGGTCCCATGGACCTTGTTGCGAACCCGGCGATGCCGGACGATACGCAATTTTCGGGAGTCTTTGTCGCGTGGCATTTACAGACTACTCTCGGTTGCTGTGCTTGGGCACGGACTCCCGCTTTGGGAAAGCCCGTGACCTCCGGGTTAGTTCAACAGGTTAGTTCAATTGGAGATGACTTGGGGTACCAGAAAGGCGTACCGGCTACACGGCGCGGCGCGCGGCGGCCTTGCCGGGCTTGAGGCGCAGGACCTCGCCCTGGTACCGGATACCCTTTTTCCTTGTACCGATTGGGCGGCCTGACCCTTCGCACCTTGGCGGCCAGCTGGCCCACCTTCTGCTTGTCGACGCCGCTCACATGGACCCGGTTGTTGCCCTCGACCACCATGGTCAGGCCTTCCTCGGGGAACACGTCCACGGTGTGGCTGTAACCGACGCTCAGCGTGATGCCGTCGCCGTTTTGCTGAACGCGGTATCCCACGCCCATCAGTTCCAGGGTCCGGCTGTAACCGTCGGTTACGCCGACCATGGCGTTGGCGATCAGGGACCGGGTCAAGCCGTGGAGCGAGTGATGGAACTTGCGGTCGGTCAGCCTTTCGACAACGACCTGCCCGTCCTGCACGCTCACGTTTACTTCGGGGTGGTACCTTTGGATCACCTCGCCCCGTGGGCCGGTGACCCTGATGCCCCCGTAGATCACCTCGGCCTGTACACCGTCGGGGATCGGGATTGGCTGACGCCCGATGCGGGACAGCGGCCGGTCGGCGGGTGGAATTCGCTCGGCGACACCGGCGCTGACGGCAATATCGTTACCAGACATAACAGACCAACTCTCCTCCGATGCCCTTCCGCCAGGCTTCGTATCCGGTCATCATTCCCTGGGAGGTGGAGACGATGGCAATGCCCAACCCGCCATACACCCGGGGAATCTCGCCCCGGCCGACGTGCACGCGCAGTCCCGGCTTGCTGACCCTTTTCAGCCCGCGAATGGCGTTGGTATCGTCATCCTTGTAGGTGAGCTGGATCCGCATGGTGGGGAATTTCTGGTTGCGCGCCTGGTCCCATTCGCGGATGTAGCCCTGCGCCTTCAGGATGTCGGCGATGGCGATCTTCACCTTGGACTGGGGCACCAGCACCGTTTGGTGCCTGGCCTGGATAGCGTTGCGAATGCGCGTCAGCATGTCGGCAACCGGGTCATTGATGGGCATTGCGGAATGGCTCCTTGTTTTTCAGTTCTTCCGCCACGGTAGCGACAACGGCGTGTCGGGCTCGTGGGCGGGGGTCTCGGCCGACCGGTGCTTACAGACTGGCCTTCCGCACGCCGGGGAGCAGACCGTCCAACGCCATTTCCCGGAAGGAGATGCGCGACAGCCCGAAGTGACGAATGTAGCCACGGGGACGCCCGGTGGCGCCGTCCCGGTTCCGGATTCGGTTGGGATTAGCATCGTGGGGCAGCAGTGCCAGCTTCTGGCGGGCCTCAAAGCGCTCGCGGGCCGACCGGGACATGTCCCGTGCTTCCGCCAGCAGCGCGGCGCGCTCCGCGGCATATTGGGCCACGATGCGCTTGCGACGCTCGTTCTTGACTACCAAAGATGTCTTGGCCAAGGTTGTCTTCTCCCTATGGCTGCGTGCTGTGTTGGGGCTGTCCCTGCGAGTCCGACGGCAATCCTATTGCCGAACAAAGGGCATTTCGAAGTGTTCAAGCAGACGAGTGGCCTCGGCGTCGTTCGGCGAGCTGGTGGTGATGGTCACCTGTAACCCGCGCAGCCGGTCGATGCTGTTGTAGTCGATTTCCGGGAACACGATCTGTTCGCGCAGCCCCAGGGAAAAGTTGCCCCGGCCGTCGAAACCGTTTCGCGAGATCCCGCGGAAGTCCCGGATACGCGGCAGGGCCGTGATGATGAGCCGCTCCAGGAAGTAATACATGCGGTCGCCCCGCAGCGTCACGGCGGTGCCGATGGGGTTGCCCTCGCGTACCTTGAACCCAGCGATGGACCGGCGGGCGCGGGTGATCACCGGCTTCTGACCCGAAATCGTGGTCAGGTCCCGAACCGCGCTCTCCATGGCGCGGCCATTGGTCAACGCCTCGCCGAGACCGATGTTCAGGTTGATCTTGGTGACCCGGGGCACCTGCATCGGGCTGGTGTATCCAAACTCGGACACCATCGCCGGGACAATCTCGTCCCGAAAGCGGAGCTTGAAGGCAGGAGGCGGCAGATCCCCCGGCTGCGCGCCGTTGGATGCATCCTCTTCCTGTCGGCGCCGCTGACGGCGGCCTTCGCCTTGGTTGGTTCGTTCCTGCTGGTCAGTAGCCATGGGGATCGCCCTCGCGAGAGTTACTCGTCCCGATTGCGGAACTGAGTGCTCGGTTCGGTGTAATTGCTCTGGATGAGCTTGATATTGGAAATGTGAATCGCGGCTTCCTGTTGCACTCGGCCGCCCTGGCGGATGCCGGGGCGAGGCTTATAGTGCTTGGTCACCATGTTGACGCCTTCGACGATTACCCGATTCCTCTCGGGCACCATGTTCAAAATGCGGCCCGTCTTGCCCTTGTCCTTGCCGGCAATGACCAGCACGTCGTCGCCACGCCGGATTTTCGCCTTGGCCATCACACCACCTCCGGTGCGAGGGACACAATCCGCATGAAACCCTTGTCCCGCAGTTCGCGAGCGACCGGGCCGAAGATGCGGGTGCCACGGGGCAACTGGTTGTCGTTGATCAGCACCGCCGCATTATCGTCGAACTTGATGTAAGTCCCATCGGGACGCAACAGGGGAGCAGCCTGTCGCACGATCACCGCTTTCACCACCGATCCCTTCCGTACCGGGGAATTGGGGATGGCCTCGCGCACCGTGCAAACGATTATGTCGCCCACCGAAGCGTACTTGCGCCGGCTGGAGCCGGGAATATTGATGAGCCGGATGCGTCGCGCGCCGCTGTTGTCGGCCACGTGCAGCCTGGTGTAACTCTGGATCATTTACGCATCCTCGTCGTCATCGGTATTTTCTTCGGCCATGTCGTCGGCCGGCGACGCATCATCGGTTCCCGCGTCTTCGGCTCCCGCGTAATCAGTGTCCGCATCAACCAGCGGCTCGATCACCGCATCGCCTTCGAGGTCAATCGCGCGGACGTCGGCCACCGCACGCCGCGTCAGGATCTCCAGGAGCCTCCAGTGCTTGGTCCGCGAGATCGGGCGCGTCTCCTGGATGCGCACCGTGTCGCCGATGCGGCACTCCACTTCTGGGTCGTGGACGTAGAAGCGCGTAACGCGGCGCATCTGCTTTCGGTAGACCCGGTGGCGTTGCTTCCACACTATTTCCACAACGGCGGTCTTGTCCATCCGGGTGCTCACTACGGAGCCCACCCGGATCTTTCGCATTGTCTTGGCCATTAAGCTAGTCCTGTCATCGCACGGAGTAATTCACGGTCACAGCGGGGCTTGGAACCCCTACTCAGCCTGCCGCTCTCGCAAGCAGGTCAGCATTCGCGCGATGTCCTTGCGGGTCTTGCGAGGCTGGTTGGTGTCGGTCAACTGGTTCACGGCGTCCCGGAAGCGCAGGTTCATGAGCTCCCGATAGGACTTCTGCAATTCCTCGTCGATTTGCTGGTCGCTCAGCGCCCGAATTTCGTACATCTTCATAGCGGTTATCCCCCGGCTCAGCCGGTGAGCAGCGAGTTCACCCGGTCGCGGTAAACGACCTTGGTGGGAATGGGCAGCTTGTGCGAGGCCTTCTCCAGGGCTTCTGCAGCCTGGTCGAGGGGTACGCCGCCGACTTCAAACATGATGCGGCCTGGCTTGACCACCGCGACCCAATGGTCGTTGGCCGCCTTGCCGCCGCCCATGCGGACTTCGGCCGGTTTCTTGGATACCGGCTTATCCGGAAAGATGCGGATATACGTGCGGCCGCCGCGCTGCAGGTGACGCGTAATCGCGATACGGGCGGACTCGATCTGGCGTGCGGTGATCCAATCGGGGCGCAATGCCTTCAAGCCGATTTCTCCGAACTCCACCGTGCTCCCGGTAGTCGCCAGACCCCGGCGCTTGCCTCGTCCCATCTTGCGGTATTTCGTCCTCTTAGGCTGCAACATTGCGCCAAACTCCCAATCTATTCGTCACGAAAGAACCAATCCGTCACCGACGCTAGTTCTCCAACTCCGCGGCCTGCAGCTCGGCTTCAGTGTCCTGGCTGGTGACGCGGAACTCGATGCTTTCCAGCTCGCCATCGTCTTCGGCGGCCGGCGGCATGATCTGGCCCCTGTAGATCCATACCTTGATGCCGATGCGCCCCATGGCGGTGCCCGCTTCGGACAGCGCATAATTGATGTCGGCTCGCAGCGTGTGCAGCGGCACCCGGCCCATCATCAACTTCTCGGTGCGGGCGATCTCCGCGCCGGAGATCCGGCCCTTGGTGATGATCTTGATGCCCTCGGCGCCAGCCTGCATCGTGCGCAGGGCGGCCTGGCGCATGGCGCGACGGTAGGCCACGCGACGGCTCAGTTGGTCCGCGATGTTCCGGCCAACGAGGTACGGGTCCAGTTCCGGCTGTTCGATCTCGATGATGTTCAGCCGGAGCATGCCGGGAGACATGTTCTCCAAACGGGCACGGAGCCCCTTGACCCGGTCGCCATCGCGGCCGATCAGGATACCGGGCCTCGCCGAATGGATGTTAATGATGGTTTCCTGGGCCGTGCGGTCAATCTCGATCTTCGCAATGCCGGCATCCGAGAAGGCAGAGTACTCGCGGTGAATCGTGCGCCGCAGCGTAAGGTCCTGCTGCACGCCGGCCCGGTACTGTGCGCCGCTGTTGGCGTACCAGTGAGTCCGCCAATCCTTGATGATGCCCAGCCGGAAGCCCAAGGGATGGGTCTTGTGTCCCATGAGTTAGCTCTCCTGTATCTCGTCCACTTCGATGATGATGTGGCTGGAGCGGCGGGTAACCCGTCCAATCCGGCCTCTGGCGCGGGGGCGGAAACGCTTCAGCGGGCGCGCCTGGTCCGCTGATATGCGCGTAATGCGCAACTCGCTCCGGTTCATGAACTCGTTATTCTCGGCGTTGGATGCCGCCGACTGGACCACCTTGGCCACCGACCGCGCCCAGGGAGAGGTCATCAGGCTCAGGTGATCGAGGGCCTGGTTGACGCTCATGCCGCGAACCGCGTCCATGATCGGCTTGAGACGCTTGGGCGAGGCCCCCACCTGCTTGGCCATTGCTCGCACGGCTGGCATGACGTCACCTCACCCTGCTCGCGCGTTCCGACCGGGCAATGTGCCCGCGATAGGTTCGCGTCGGCGCGAATTCGCCCAGGCGATGCCCCACCATGTTCTCGGTGATGAACACCGGAACATGACGCCGGCCATCGTGGACGCCGAAGTTCAGCCCGACCATTTCGGGCATGATCATCGAATCCCGCGACCAAGTTCGGATAACGGTGGCCTCGCCGGATTCGCGAACCCGGTTGACCTTCTTGAGCAACTTGGGGTGGACGTACGGTCCCTTTTTTACTGACCTAGACATGATGACAAACGCTGCCTGTCGCGCCGCTGGGCGGCACGAGGGTTGGGTTTCTACCTCCGCCAGCGGCGTCCGCGGACGATGAACCGACTGGAGGTCTTCTTCTTGTTGCGAGTCTTGTGACCCAGGGTGGGCTTGCCGGTGGGCGACTTGGGGCCGGGCATCCCGATGGGCGAGCGACCTTCGCCGCCGCCATGGGGATGGTCCACCGGATTTTTGGCGACGCCCCGAACGTGGGGACGGCGGCCCAGGTGACGCTTCGCGCCGGCCTTGCCCAGGCTTTCGTTCTTGTGGTCCGGGTTGGATAGCTGACCGACGCTGGCCCTGCAGTTCAGCAGGATGCGGCGCATCTCGCCCGAGGGCAGCCGGATCAGCACGTAGTCGCCCTCTCGGGACAGCACCTGCGCTCCGGTGCCGGCCCCGCGTACCAACTGTCCACCCCGGCCGGGCGTCAACTCAAGGTTGTGCACCACGGTACCGGTGGGGATATTGCGCAGCGGGAGCGTGTTGCCGGGGCTGATTTCAGCGTCGGACCCGGACTGCACCTTGTCTCCGACGGACAGGTTCACCGGCGCCAGGATGTACGCCTTCTCGCCGTCGGCGTAGTGCAGCAGCGCGATCCGCGTGGTCCGGTTCGGGTCGTACTCGATGGTCTTGACCGTCGCCGGCACGCCATCCTTGCGTCGCTTGAAGTCGATGCGCCGGTACATGCGCCGGGCGCCGCCGCCCCGGTGGTATGCCGTGATGCGGCCTTTGTTGTTGCGCCCGCCGCGCTTCTGCAGCGGTTCCAACAGCGACTTCTCCGGCTTCTTGGTGGTGATCTCCTCGAAAGAGGGTCGCACCGCGTTTCGAGTGCCGGGGGTTATCGGGCGGAGATTTTTCAGTGGCATGAGTTCAGCTCGCGATGTTGGCGTGCGACGGGTTGGCTACAGGCCTTCAATCAGTTCGATGCGGTCGCCGGCCTGCAACGTGACCACGGCTTTCTTCACGTCGGGCTGCTTCTTGTAGCGCGGGCCATACCGCTTGCGCTTGCCGTGATTGCGCGTGATATTGACGCTGAGGACCGTGACGTTGAAGTTTTCCTGGACCGCCTGCTTGACCATCGTCTTGTTCGCCCGGGGAGCGATTACAAAGGTGTACTGGCCCACTTCCTGCAGCAGGGTGCTCTTTTCGGTAATGGTCGGGCGCAGGAGGACTTCGCTGATGTGCATTATTCCGCCACCTCGCTTGTCGCCTTGCGGGCCCGGTGCCGGGGAGCCTGGCACAAATCCGCGATCCGCTGGATGGCGCCCACGGTGATCAGGACGGTCTGGCGTTTCAGCACGTCGTTGGCGTTCACCAGGTCAGACGGCAGGGTCCAAACCTGTTTCAGGTTGCCGCCGGCCCGTGCCACGCCCTGCTGGGCTCTTCCGTGATCACGAGCACGGACCCGGTGATGTTGAGGTTCTCCAGCGCCTGCTTCATGGACTTGGTCTTCCCGTCCATGCTGTCCAGGGAGTCGACGCAGATCACGCGGTCACCGCGAATTTTCTCGGAGAGCACACACTGCAAAGCCTTGCGACGCATCGCGCGAGGCAAGGCCTTTCGGTAGTCTCGGGGCTTCGGGCCGAACGCTATGCCGCCGTGTCGCCACTGCGGGGAGCGGATGCTGCCCTGGCGGGCCCGGCCCGTGTGCTTCTGTATCCAGGGCTTCCGGCCGCCGCCCGACACTTCGGCGCGGGTGCGCGTGGAATGAGTGCCCTGTCGCTGGTTCAGCTGGTAGATGACCATCGCCTGGTGAACCAGGGTCTGGTTCATCGGCACGTCAAATACGGCCTCGTCCAGCTCGATGGTGTCCACGGCGTTGCCGCTGATGTTGAGTACGGGGAGTTCCATTTCGGATCGGTTCCTTGAAGGTCTGGGCCATCCGCGGCGGGCGTTCCGGAGTGCCCGGTTCGCTTACGCCCTGCTCTTGCCTGTCTTTCGAATCGTTACCGGGCTGTTCGGAGCGCCGGGGATGCCGCCCTTGACCATCAACAGGTTCCGTTCGGCGTCCACCCGGACCACTTCCAACCCCTTGCTGGTCACCCGGCGGTTACCCATGTGACCGGACATTTTCAGTCCCTTGAAGACCTTGCCCGGCGTGGTGCCGCCCCCAATGGAACCCGGAGCCCGCTGCCGGTCCGATTGGCCGTGGGTGCGGGGACCGCCGTGAAAGCCGTGGCGTTTCATGGTGCCGGCGAACCCTTTACCCTTGGACTTGCCAATGACGTCAACAATTTCGCCCGGCTCAAAGATGTCCACCGAAAACAACTGGCCCACCTCGTACTCGCCGGTGTCGTCAGCGCGCACCTCTTCGAGGCGGCGGCCGATCTGGCTGCCTCGCAGGTGACCCGCGTCAGGCTTGTTGGGCTTGCGCACCCGTCCAAATCCCAACTGGACCGATTGGTGGCCGTCATTCTCCGTGGTGCGGATCTGGGTGACGGCGCAGGGGCCGGCCTCAATCACGGTTACGGGCACCACCTGGCCGGCGTCGTTGAACACCTGGGTCATGCCGATTTTCTTGCCGAGGAACGCCTTGAGCATTTTCTTTGCCTGCGAGTGGTGGACGGTGGTTTGAAATCGTTTGTTGGTGGGGGTCGTTGGAGGATGGTATTCGTTAGATGAAATGGCGGCGGTGGCTTTCATGCCAGCCGCCAGCCGGAACTGCAATTCTACGACGGGATCACTATTCTTTCAAGCCCGTTGGTCCCGTCCGTACTCGGTTTCGTCCGCCTCACCCGTGATTCCGGCTCGCGCCGGCCACAAGATCGGCAGGTTTGGAGCTTGCAAGCTAGAGCTTGATTGAAATGTCCACTCCGGCCGGCATGTTCAGCCGGGTCAGCGCGTCGATGGTCTTGCTGGTGGGTTCCATGATGTCCAGGAGCCGCTTGTGCGTCCGGATCTCGAAGTGCTCGCGAGAATCCTTGTCAACGTGGGGCCCTCTGATCACGCAGAACCGTCGTATCTGCGTCGGCAGTGGCACCGGGCCCGCCACTCGGGCGCCGGTCAATTCGGCGGTTTCCACAATCTGGGTGCTGGACTGGTCCAGCATCTTGTGGTCAAACGCCTTCAGGATTATCCGCATCTGTTGCCTTGCGACCATAATCTAATCCGCTAGCTCCTGTTGTGTGTTCTCTCCGGCGCGCGCTTCGGCTACCGGTTGGTAACCAGAGTCCGGGCCACGCTCTCCGGCACCGGCTCGTAGTGCCGGAACTCCATGGTGTACGAAGCGCGTCCCCGGGTCAGGGACCGCAGCGCCGTGGTGTACGCGAACGTCTCTCCCAGGGGGATCATGGCGCTCACGGTCTGAAGGCCGTCCTGACCTTCGATGCTGCGGATCTGGGTGCGGCGTCCTCCCAGGTCGCTCAGCACTTCGCTGAGATACTCGCCCGGCGTTACGATCTCCATTTCGAAGAAGGGTTCCTGCAACACCGGCGCCGCCCGGCGCGTCCCGTCCCGCATCGCTATCATGCCTGCGGAACGGAAGGCCATTTCGGACGAGTCCACCGTGTGGTAGCTGCCGTCCACCAGTGTGACCTTCAGGTCCACCAGGGGATAGCCAGCCAACGGGCCGTTGTCCAGCGCCTGCTTCACGCCGGCGCTAACGGCCGGGATGTAATTTCGGGGGATGACACCGCCGGAGGTGCCGTCAACGAACTCAAAGCCGGCGCCGCGTTCCTGCGGCTCGAGCTGCAGCCACACGTGCCCGTACTGGCCGTGGCCTCCGGTCTGGCGCACAAAGCGTCCCTCCACCCGGATGGCCTTGGTGATCGTTTCACGGTAGGCGACCCTGGGCTGGCCCACGCGGGCCTCCACGTCGAACTCCCGCCGCATCCGGTCCACCAGCACTTCCAGGTGCAGTTCGCCCATGCCGGAGATGACGGTCTGGCCGGTTTCGTCGTTGAACCGCACCACGAAGGTCGGGTCTTCTTCGGACAACTTCCGCATCGCCTCGCCGAGCTTGTCCTGGTCTACACGGGTGGCCGGCTCAATGGCCACCGAAACCACGGGCTCGGGGAAGTGTGGCGGTTCCAGGATCACCGGCTTGTGGTCGGTGCAGATGGTGTCGCCGGTGAAGGTGTCCTTCAGGCCCACCGCCGCGCAGATGTTGCCGGCCGTTATTTCCGGCAACTCCTCCCGGTGGTTGGCGTGCATCCGCAGCAGGCGGCCCATGCGCTCCCGGTTCCCCCGGGTCACGTTGCGCACGGCTGCCCCCGATTCCACCTTCCCGGAGTAGATCCGCAGGAACACCAGCCGCCCCACGTAGGGGTCGATCACCACCTTGAAGGCCAGGGCCGACAGCGGCTCGCTGTCCAAAGGTTCGCGGATTTCCATGGTCTCGGTGTCGGGCACCTTACCTTCCACGGCCGGAACGTCCAGCGGCGATGGCAGGTAGCAGATGATCGCGTCCAGCAGCGGGTGGACGCCCTTGCCCCGCATCGCGCTGCCGCACAACACCGGCACCAGTTGGCGGTTGATGGTGGCGGAGCGCAGGGCGGAACGCAGGTCGTCGGCGCAGATGTCCTCGCCCTCGAGGTACTTGATGAGCAGGGCCTCGTCCGTCTCGACGATCTTCTCGATCATCTCCTGGCGGTAATCTTGATAGGCCCGTTCGTATTCCGGCGGCACCGGCATCAGTTCCGGCGGGTCGGCCACGTCGTCGCGCCCGTCCGAATACATAATGGCCTGGCCTTCAATCAGATCGACCACGCCGCGAAATTCGTCCTCTTCCCCGATCGGTACCTGTACCGCAACGGGGTTGCCTTTCAGCCGACGTCGGACGGATTCGATGGTGCGCTCGTAGGACGCCCCCACCCGGTCCATCTTGTTGACGAAGCAGATACGGGGCACGTTGTACGTGTCGGCCTGGCGCCAAACCGTTTCCGACTGTGGTTGGACACCGGCGACGGCGTCCAGCACCACGATGCCCCCGTCCAGGACCCGCAGGCTCCGTTCCACTTCGGCGGTGAAGTCCACGTGGCCGGGCGTGTCGATAATGTTGACCTGGTGGTCGCGCCAGTACGCCGTGGTGGCAGCCGCGGTGATGGTGATGCCCCGTTCCTTCTCCTGCGGCATCCAGTCCATGGCCGTGGTGCCCTCGTCCACGCCGCCAACCTTGCGGATGCGGCCGGTGAGGTAGAGCACCCGCTCGGTGACCGTGGTCTTACCGGCGTCGATGTGTGCGATAAAGCCGATGTTTCGAATCTGATCGGCAGGGGTTGTTACGACAGTCATACCTGTACCTGGGGAGGGTTGGGGGGGTGATTGACAGACAGGTAGGGGCGAATGAACATTCGCCCCTACTACGGATTACGGGGGTTAGCGGCGGTAATGTACGAAGGCCCGGTTGGCTTCTGCCATCCGATGCAGTTCGTCCTTGCGACGCACGGCGGAACCTTCGCCCCGGGCGGCGTCCATGAATTCGTTGGCGAGCCCGCGAGCCATGCGCATCCCGTTCCGGGCGCGGGCGCCGCGAATGATCCAGCGCATTGCCAGCGCCTCGCTCCGGCTGGTGCGGAGTTCCACCGGAACCTGGTATGTCGCGCCGCCGACTCGGCGGGGCCTCACCTCAACCAGAGGAGTGGCGTTGCGCAGCGCCGTGGAAAACACCGCCATGGGGTCCTGGCTCATGTCGGTCCGCACCAGTTCCAGGGCATCGTAAACCAACCGCTGTGCGGTGGACTTTTTGCCCTTGAGCATGACCCGGTTGATGAACTTGGCCAACTCCGCGTTGTTGTACCGCGGGTCGGGTTTTACTATTCTCGGTTCGGCTCGACGTCTGCGTGACATGGCAAATCTACCTTGCTTTCCAAAATGAGCCACCCCCGGCGGTGGGGGTGACGGTGGCTTGATTTCTCAGTTCGGGTCGCGGTTAGCCTTTACGAGCTCCGTACTTGCTGCGACCCTGGCGTCGTCCGTCTACACCTTCGGTGTCCAGGTTGCTTCGGACCACGTGATAGCGTACTCCGGGCAGGTCCTTGACGCGGCCGCCACGGATCAGCACCACCGAGTGCTCCTGCAGGTTGTGTCCCTCGCCGCCGATGTAGGCAGTGACTTCCACACCGTTGGTCAACCGGACGCGGCAGATCTTGCGCAGCGCGGAGTTCGGCTTCTTGGGAGTCATGGTGCGCACCTGGATGCAAACGCCCCGCCGCTGCGGGCACCCGGGACCCCACTTCGTGCGGTTCCGCAGGGAGTTCTGCACCCAATGCAGCGCCGGCGCCTTGGTCTTTTTGCGGATGGGCTTCCGACCCTTGCGTACCAGTTGATTGACAGTAGGCATAAAGCTTCCTTTGTCGCCGTGGGGTATCTCCAGCGCGGCGGTAAACGATGTTACTGCCAGTTGCCGCACTGTGTCAACCGAACACCGTTTGAGGCACTTGCAAAAGGCGAATAATTCGTTCAGGCCCTCGTTTTCGGGGGCCTGACTGCGTTTTGCAAGTGCCTTTTCTTGACCCCTGCACTCCCGCAGAGTATTCTGCCGCTGTTATCGCATAAGGAGTCCCTAGTTCGGTGGGATACCGCACAACAGGCCCTAACGGCATAGTGATGTGTCATTTTCGCGGGTTGCCTCACGCATCCTCTGGTGGCGGTCAGTAATAATCCAGCCGGCAACAACTCCAGCGATGCCACCCAACACAAGGCAGACCCAAAAAACTATGGCAGCCTCCGGCACGTCATAAATGCCTTTGCGGATATACGCAGCTATATCCACCCCGAAATACAGAATCACTCCGAGAGTACATCCTCCGCTGAGTCCCATTAGGGCTCCCACGAAAGCTCCCCATATTGTTTTTACGGTTCTGGACATTTTGGACCACTTCTTCACCAAATTGGCGTTTTGCAAGCTGGCGCAAACCTGCTCAAAACGGGCCGCAGATCAACGATAAACTATGCTGATTTAGTTCTGTCAAGCCCTTTTGCAATTGCCTCCGTTTCAACTTGGGGAAATTTCGCTACTCGACGGGTCAGAGTGGCCGAGACTCCGTCTGGCTCAGTAGAGGTATTAGCTTGTCCATCAAGGCCTCGACGTCGTCGAGCCCTTCTGCGACTTCAAAAGTCTGCATCGTGTTCTCGTAGAAGTTCTCGTGCAAGGCACTGGCGGTGTTGAACAGGCGGCGTATGTCTCCGGCTCCGGTCTCAGCCCGGAGCCGGCTGACGGTGACGAGGTGGTGTCGGTGCCGGCTGTGGTCCCAGCCGCGCTGCTCGGCGACCGCCTTGAGGATTTGGGCCGTGGCGCCCCATCCCTTCTCGGATGCCTGCGGGAGGTCGGCGTCGGCGAGTTCCTGTCTGGCCTGCGCCAAGAAATGCTCGCTGGCTTGTTGATACTGGTGGGTGGTCACTTGGGGCTCCTGCTGCTGTTTTTGGAGGTTAGCAACTGCGGCTTGCCTTGGCAATGATGCCGGCGCGGCCTTCTTGATGATGTTCGAACCTGAGTAGCGAAATTTCCTCCTTTCAACTTGAGGCGATTCCGCTACTCCGATGGCCGGCGGGTGGTCTGATTGGATTTGCGCGGGTTGAGGGTCTTGACCCGGTTGCTCAACTTCTACGCGCAAACAGCAGGTGCGTGGCGAAACGCCGGCGTTCTTGGGTCAGCGCTGCCAGGTACGCTTGCGTGGCGTCACGGGCGCGCTGAATGTTCCGCATCGCCTGCGTGCTGGTCAACGGCGTTCTGGTCAACGGCGTGGCAGGGTTGGGGTTGTAGTCGGCCTCGTGGCGCTGGACCTGTAGCGCGATGAAGGCTTCGGCGAAGTCCGGTATGTCGGCGTCGAAGGTTGCCATCCGGCTCGCGTTGAGCATCTGGCTCTTGGCCGTCGCGTGGTTGAGCGCCCGTTGAGTAGCGGTCCACTCTTCGCTTCTGCGAAATGCCGACCTATCGCGTATGGATGCTGCTGATCGGATCAGCGTGTCCGCATTGCTGTTAGCGAGTGCATGAAGCATCGCGTAGTAGGTGGCGCTGTTCGCTTTCCTGAGGTGGGTCTGTTGCGGCCTGCCTCTGGTCTCGCCGGGTGCCGGCGCTCCGGCCAGCATCTCGGCCAGTTCGAGCAACTGCTCCCAGTTCATTCGCTGCTACTACTGGTAGTATGCGACGTTTGACAGCTTTGACCACTCGCTGTCCTCAGTCGCTTCGACGTAAGATTCCGTCGTGAGGTGGAGGCCCAACTTCGCGAGATCGTCTCGGTTCCGTCTCTTGAAACCATTCAGCCACGCTGGGTCCAGGAGGTCGCCGTCCCCGGAGTAGACGACCACGATGTGGTAGTACGGGTCTCCGTCCTGGTCCTCGCCGGGTGTGGTCCTGACTTCTTTGATCGAGATGCCCTCGAAGGCTACGTGCTCCAGGTCCCGGCGGACGATCTGCGCTACGCTTTGTTCGGCCTCGGGGCTCAATATTTCCGCTACTGTGATGGGGCCTCCCGTTTTTGGGGCGCACTGTCAGAAACAGTTGAGCGGCCTTTGGCGGGGTCGCTCCTTTGCCTTGCCGAGCATCGCCCTGCTCGGTGGCTGGCATTTTATCAGGGGCGATGGCCCGAACAATGACGGGCTCAGGCAAAGATCCGGGTGGTTGGACCAATTGCTAAATCCGCCAATATGTTGGCCGATCTCTGGCTGGGCTACCGTGCCGACGGAGTAGCGAAATTTCCTCTTTTCAACTATGCGTGCAACGGCCTGCCAGGTATGCGGACGAGCCCGCGGTCCATCCGGTCTCGCGTGTCGCAGCAGCGGCGGCGAGCCGAATCTGTCCCTACATGAACAGCCCGCCGTTGACTTCCAATTCGGCGCCGGTCACGTAGTCGCCCTCGGGAGCGCAGAGGAACACCACCATTTGAGCGACCTCTTCCGCCTTGCCGAAACGCCGCAGCGGAATCTGGCTGAGCAGCCGGTCCTGGAGGCTTTGGGGTATGGACGAGACCATCTCCGTCTCGATGAAACCGGGAGCCACGGCGTTCACGGTGATGCCCTTGCTGGCCAGTTCTTTGGCCAGGGTCTTGGTCATGGCGGCAACGCCTGCCTTGGACGCGGCATAGTTGGCCTGGCCGAAGTTGCCGATCTGCCCGATGACGGACGTGATGTTCACCACACGCCCATAGTTCTGCTCAACCATCTGGTCGATGCAGACCTTGGTGCAGTTGAACACGCCGTCCAGGTTGATGGCCAGCACCTTGCGCCAGGTGGAATGGTCCATGTTGACGAAGGTCTTGTCCGAGGTCACGCCGGCGTTGTTGACCAGGATGTCGATGTGGCCGAACTCTCGGAGTACGGAATGGGCCATGGCGTACGTGTCTGGGAAGTCCCCGACGTCCGCGCGGGCCAGCATACCCTTGCGGCCGATGGCCTGGACCTCCTCCACGACGGCCGCCGCCGCTGCCTCGTTGGAAACATAGTTGATGGCCACGTCAGCGCCCTCCGCGGCCAAGGCAAGAGCGATTGCGCGGCCAATCCCGCGAGAGGCGCCAGTAACCAGGGCGGTACGTCCTTCCAGTTTCATGTTCGCCTCCAGTCGGGTCGGTGTCGCAGCAAATCCAGCACTTGCGGTCAGGTCGGCTCTCCCTCGTCGTTGCCCGCCGCGCTCGCCGGCGCGCGGGTGGAACGGGAGCGGGACGCTTGGGGACGGCGAGACGCGCTCAGCTCGCTGCGGAGCTTGCGGATTTCGTCCTCCATGTCGTCCAGCTTTTCCTCCATGCCGATGATCCGGGCAAACATTCGGTCAATCTGGCTGCGGGAGGGCAGGTTGTACGCCCGCAGCATGGCGTTGATCTGGGGGTTAACCTGCTTGGCCGTCCGCTCCTGCATCGCCAGCCCCTGCTCCATGAATTGGCCCAGCGACTTGGAGAACTCCTCCGAGCTCATAACCTCCGAGAAGGTGGCGGCCATGGACTCCAGGTAGCGGGCCCACTGGCGTTGCGCTTCTTCAATTGACGGCGGTTGGCCCGCGCCGGACTGGTCGTTCATCCATTGCGACTGCCAGCTTTCGAACATCCGCTGCCATGTCTGCATGAAGTCAGTGGGGTTGGACGGCGGCGTGAACGGATTCGATCCCGGAGCGCCGGCGCCCGGCGGGAACCCGAAGGGGAAGCCGCCAAAGGGAAACTGGCCGAAGGGCATCGCGCCCGGACTCGGGGGCGTAAACCCGCCGAAGCCGGTGGCGGCCTGTGACCAGGCTTCGGTCGATTTGCGGATCATGTCCTGCCACACTTCAAAGAAGGCGGTGGCGCTGTTTTCGGTGGTCCCGTTGTCAGCGGTGGTCATCAGTGGGATCTCCCGGAGGGTTGGTTGCCCGAGGGTTGGTTACAGGAAGATGGCGTTCGTTCAGTTCGACCGGGCCGAAACCCACTCGTCGATCTTGGGCCACAGGGTCTGGTGCGCCTGGCGTCCGGAGAAGACGGAGATGTGCCCGCCGGGCAGTTCCACGAACTCCTTGTCCTCGCTGGAAACCACGTCCATCAGGCTCCGCGCGGCCGGCGCCGGAACGATGTAGTCCTGGGTCGCCGCCGCTACCAGCAGGGGCTGGCGGATCCGCGACAGGTTGACGGCGTGGCCGTTGATTAGAAACTCGCCCCGGATCATCTCGTTCTTGCCGTAGAGGTTCTTGGACAACTGCCGGAAGAAGCGGCCCGGCATGGCGACGAAGTCGTTGGCCCAACGGCTCATCGCCTTGTAGCTTTCGATGTAGCCGGGACGGGTCGCGTTGGACCACAGCCCGCCCATGGCCTGAGCCTCCAGGGTGGGGACGCAGCATCTTGAACCCGGCGTTCATGAGCACGGAGGGCAGGCTGCCGTAGTGATCAACGATCAGGTCGGCGGGGAAGTAACGCTCGTCCAGCCAGGTGCGGAACATGCCCCCCTGCTCAAAGTCGATGGGTGTCACCACCGCCACGAAATTGCGCACCGGAGCGTCCGGGTTCAGGGCCAGGTACGCGGCGCTGAGCGTCCCACCCAGGCAGATGCCGTTCAGCGTGATCTCCGTCGCGCCGGAGGCTTCCAACGCCCGTTCAATGGCCCGGGGGATGATCTTGTAGACGCCTTCCTCGAAGCCCAGTTCGCTGTCTTCCTCGCCGATTACGCCCCAGTCCAGCAGGAACACGTCGTGTCCCTGGTTCACCAGGTACTCGATCATGCTGTTGCCGGGGAGCAGGTCCAGAACGTAGGTCCTGCTGATGCCCAGCCACGGCACGATCAGGTACGGCATCCCCAGGGTCTCCCGCTCCCGGGAGCCGTAGCGGAGCAGACGGGTGTTGCCGCGCTTCCACACGACTTCGGAAGGCGTTACCTCGGCGGGCGGGTCGGCCGGGTGGACAACGAAGGCGTCAACCAGGGCCTGGAAACGCTGCCACTGCAGTTGCGCTTCCTGTTGGAATTGAGAGGCGTATTCGGTCGAGTTGACCACGGCTGTGTCTCCTGTTGGTTACCGCTGTAAATTGAATGCCGCTGTAATATGGGTTGCCGCTGTAAAACTGCGCTTAGAACGGGGCGGTGGGAGACGCCCCCCGGCCGACGGCGAAGGACCAGTCCATGAAAGCCCGACCGTAGTCCATGGCGCTCTCGACCACTTCCTGGCCGGCGGTCGCCATGTCGGTGTTGGCCTTCAGCACGGTGGCCGTCAGCTCGGCGCGGCGCTTTTCCACGCCTTGGGCGTACCCGGCGCAGGCCCGCAGATACTCCTGGTCACCCGCGACCATCCCGTCGATCAGTTCTTTGGTTTCCGCGCTGTTCCCGGCGTTGGGATTGGCGGCGAGAGCCCTGGTGAGTTCCGCCATCTTCTCGTTGCGGTCCCTGGCCCGGCCGATGGAGTCTTCCCAGATCTTGCCGGCGGCGGTCTGTTCCGCCTGGACAGCTTCCGCCATCAGCCGGGCCGTCGTGGCGGATTGTTCCCAACCCACCCGTGCAGCAGCAAAGCCCTCGGATACCATCTCGTTATAGGCTTTGACCATCTCTTGCGCGCATTCGGTTACGGTGCTTGCCACGTTGTGATCCTCCTGGTAATTCTGGCTGGTAATTGCGGCCATTGGATTGCGGTTTGGTTACGAATTGATTGATTCATCCGGGACTTCCGGTTCGCCGGTGTCTGACGCTCCGGATCCCGGGGCGCCCATCGATGACGGGGCCATGCCGAACGCCTGGGCGTACAGGTCGAAGAAACCCGTGATCATGCGCTGGTAGCCCGATACCACATCGGTCCATCCCAGCAGCATCTGCTCGCCGGCCTCGGTGATGCTGTAAACGCGCTTGGCCGGGCCGCTGCCCTCGGTCTGCCATTCTGAGACGACGTGTCCCTCTTTTTCCAGGCGGCGGAGCTCACGATAGAGCGCGGGGTGGTCCACCTCGGCAAACCCCATGCTGTTCAGCTGCTGCATGATCAGATAGCCGTGCAGGCTCCATTGCTTCAGCACCAGCAAAACCCACGGGGTGAGAAAGTTCTTGGGCAGCTTGCGACTGCCAAGCGGATCGGGGCCAGTCATATATGTGCATTATACACATAAGGCCAAAACCCGCAAGTCCCACCGTCGGCGTTCAAGCAGTCATCGCAAGCGAGCCTGGCAACCCGTCCCGCAGTCATCGCGAGCGCAGCGTGGCAATCTCGCTGGCGAATGAACCATCCTTCGCGCGACGGCCCACAACCAGCGTTACTCCGCCCGCGGCCCCTTGGTGATCGGAACCCGCTCCACGGACCCTTCGGGCGCGATCATCAATCCCGAATACGGAGCCACTTTGGCGTTGAAAATGGCCACGGCATCCGCGCCGCTGCCCGGATATCCCAATCGACGCAACCAGCCGGGGATGACGTGCTCCGGCAAGACCACCGTTTGGATGTGTTCCTGAACATCCTCGGAAAACGGCGCCGCCTCCAGGCCCAGATCCTCGGCGGCTTCCAGGGCAATGAAATTCTGGAAGGGAGCCAGGCGCAGGGCCTCCAGCTCGGCTTTCGCCCCTTCCTCGATGATGATCTGCTGCAGGTCGTCGGGTATCCCGTTCCACACGTCGCGGTTGATCACGTTGTTGGTGTAGCCAAACCCGATCACCGGGCCGGCGATATGGTCCGTGACTTCGTACAGGCTGCCGGTCACGCCCAGCAGCAGGGTCGTCACCGCCGCGTCCACCGTGCCGATCTGCAGCGCCGTGTACAGTTCACCGACGCTCAGCTCAACGGGCTCACCGCCCATGCCCCGTATGAAGTCCGACATGGACGCCGAGTGGGTGCGGACGCGTTTACCGTCGAAGTCGTCGGTCGAGCGCATGGGCTCGTTGCTGAAGAACCACTGGTCCGAACCGGCGAACCAGTTGCGGTTGAGCACGGGGCTGCCGCCGGTAATATCGAGCAGCATCCGGTCAATGTCCGGAGCCATTTCGGTCAGCGCCGAGTATGAGGATTCCCAGTCGCTGGCCGTTCCCCAGAGGGACTGCACCTCCAGGGACGGGTGCGCTCCGGCCACGTAGCCCGTGAATATGTTAACCATGTCCAGCGACCCGTCGGCGACCTTGCTCAGGGTGCCCGGCCCGGCCAGCCCGAGTTCCACGAAGGAAGTCACCGACAACTCCACCTGGCCGTTGGTGCGTTCCCATAGGTTGGGCGCCCAGTAGGTCTGCACCAGCACACACGTCGGCAGGTTCCGGTCGATGCACACGTGCTGAATCTTGATGCTCTCCCCGGACGAGGTCAACTCCGTCGGATCGGCCAGCTTGGCCTTCTCGATCAGATCCTCGTAGTAGACGCTGTTGTAGATGAACAGGTGGTCCGGAATGCCCGCCGGCTGGAAGCCGAGCACCGCCGCCGCCGAGGCCTGACGATAGATCGCTTCGTGAACGCCGAGCATCAGGCTATCGTGGGGCGGGGGGCCCAGCAGTTGGGTGGCATCGCCCATGAAAATCGCGCCCGGCCCGTGGGCGTGCTCTGCAGCGTACTCCAGCAGCGCCGGGCTGCCAGTGGGCACGGGAACTGGGGTGGGAGTCACGGTAGTGGCCACGGGTTCGGTCGGAACGGGGACTTGGAGCTGTGGTAGCCTTGGGTTCCGGCTGGCCCACGGGGGGCGGAACCGCTTCCGGTGTCGGCCGAGACGTCGAGGTCGGAAGGACAACATCGCTGGGTGATACTGTCGGCCGGCTCGCGGAAGATGCCACGGCAGGCGCAACCGATGTGGCCGCGGTAGCCGCAGGCGCCGCCGAAGTAGCCGGTTCTACGCTTTGACCGGGTTCAGGTTCGTCGCCCCCGCCGCAGGCCGACAGGCCCAACATCAGAATGGCTGCCAGCCCGGCAATCAACAACCCGTTACGCCACTGCCTCATCACCGCTCTCCTGTGGTCATTTGGTGTCTCTCGTCCCGGCTCGGCGGGAGAGGCATTGTACTGTACGACCGCTGGCCGTTATCGGTTGCAATCGGCGGCCGACAGTATCAGAACTCCAGCGTGGCAATCTCGTCGCCACCGCGCTGGCTGTCGCCAAAAGCGGTTCCATCGCTTCGTCACCGCAGTGACGTTTCGTTACCGACGACGACAATCGAACCCGGCAGCGACAGACGATCAAACCACCCTCTAAATTCGTTGCTGCCGTTTGTAACGTTATTCACAATGGGCTATAATGCTCATACCCAGAGCGTAGGGAGGGATCGCATAGTGGTCTAGTGCGGGCGCCTGCTAAGCGCTTATCCTGGGAAACCGGGATCGTGGGTTCGAATCCCACTCCCTCCGCCACTTCCATCCCGGACGCCCCCGCCTACACGGGAACAAAGTCTAATGCAGACCTATCACATCTGGACCATTGGCTGCCAGATGAACACCGCCGACTCCGAACGCCTGGGGTCGGCGTTGGAGCAACTGGGCCTCACGGCCGTGACACGCCCCGCCGATGCGGACGTGGTGGTCCTCAACTCGTGCGTCGTCCGCCAGTCCGCCGAGGACAAGGTGACCGGCACGTTGAACCTGACCCAACCCCTGCGCAAGAAGCGTCCCGACGCCGTGCTGGCGCTCACCGGCTGCATGGTCGGCCCCCGCACCGAGGAGTTGCAACGCCGCTTCCCCCATGTTGACCTGTTCCTGCGGCCCCAGGAGTTCGAGCCGCTGCTGGAGTTGGTCGGCGAGCGTCTCGGCTTGGACTGGGAGGGCTGCGTTGGCTCCCTGGCGCCCCAGCGGCCCGACGTGGCAACCTACGTGCCCATCATCCACGGCTGCGACCTGATGTGCACCTTCTGCATCATCCCCTATCGTCGTGGCCGCCAGGCCAGCCGCTCGGTGGATGACGTTGCCCACGAGGTGGAACTGCTGGCCACTCGCGGCGTCCGCGAGGTCACCGTCCTGGGACAGACCGTGGACGCCTACGGCCACGACCGCGACGAGGGCGACGACTTGGCCGACCTGTTCACCAGGCTGAATGATGTGGACGGCCTTGACCGCATCCGGTTCCTGACCTCCCACCCGTCGTACATGAGCAGCCGCATCATCCGGTCCGTGGCGGAACTGCCCAAGGTGTGCGAGCACATCAACCTGCCGGTGCAGGCGGGCGACGACGAAGTGCTGCAACGCATGCGTCGGCCCTACACCATCGCCGAGTATCGTGACATCATCAGCGAAATCCGTGACACCATACCCGACGTCACGGTCAGCACCGACATCATCGTCGGTTTTCCCGGCGAAACCGAGGAGCAATATCAACACACCCTGCAACTGGTGGACGACCTTCGCTTTGACAAGGTCCACGGCGCGGCATATTCCACGCGGCCCGGCACCATCGCCGCCCGCACCATGGAAGACGACGTCGCACCGGAGGAAAAGCAGCTCCGCCTCAAAGGTCTTGAAACGCTTCAGGAGGGCATTCTCACCGGCATCAACTCGAGGTATCTTCACGATACCGTGCAGGTGCTGGCCGAGAACCGCAAACGAGGCAGCTGGACCGGAAGAACTCGCGGCAACAAGCTCGTTTATTTCGACCCTACGGCAACCGCCGATTCCGTCGCCGAACCCGACCTGACCGGTCAGTTGGTGGACGTTCGGATTACACGCACCGGGCCATGGTCATTGGCCGGCGTGCTGGCGTAGTACCGCTTTTTTAGTTTAAGGAGGCGGCTTTTATGGTTACGCAAACCAGGCAACCGACAATTCCCCTCACCGAAATTGAGCACGCCGCCTTCTGCAAACCGGAAGACGAACTGCCCGCCAAGTCGCTGGCCGAGGAATTGGCCATCAACGTTCGCTGGCAGAAAATCCCCGGCGAGTACCTGGCCTGCTCCCCGGCCGAACTGGACGAGCGCATCGCGGCTGCCCGCCGCGTCCTGGGCGACCGCGTGACCATCCTGGGCCACCATTACCAGCGCGAGGAGATTATCAAGTACGCCGACTTCCAGGGCGACTCCTTCCTGCTCAGCCAGGAGGCGGCCTCCCGCCCGGAAGTGGACTACATCATCTTCTGCGGCGTCCACTTCATGGCCGAAACCGCCTGCATCCTGGCCGGCGAACACCAGCAGATCATCCTGCCCAACATCACCGCCGGCTGCTCCATGGCCGACATGGCGCCCATCCAGGACGTTGAGGACGGCTGGGAGGACCTGCAGGACGTTCTCGGCGATCACGGCGGCATCCTGCCCGTCACCTACATGAACTCCGTGGCCGCCATCAAGGCCCTGTGCGGGCGCAACGGCGGCGCGGTCTGCACATCCTCCAACGCCACCGCGGTGCTCAAATGGGCCTTCGACCAGGCGGACCGCGTCCTGTTCCTGCCCGACCAGCACCTCGGCCGGAACACCGCTCTCAAGCTGGGCATACCCCTGGACGAGATGGTCGTCTGGAACCCCTTCAAGGCCATGGGCGGCAACACGCCGGAGCAACTGCGCAACGCTAAAATGGTGCTGTGGCAGGGTCACTGCTCGGTCCACACGCGCTTCACCACCAAGCAGATCGAGTCGGCCCGGCAGCGTTACCCCGACGTGACCGTGCTCGTTCACCCCGAGTGCCCCCGAGAGACCGTGGAAGCCGCCGACCTGGACGGGTCCACGGAATTCATCCGCAAGACCATCAACGAGGCTCCCGCCGGCTCGGCCTGGGCCGTGGGCACCGAGATCAGCCTGGTAAACCGGCTGGCCAAGCACAATCCCGACAAGACGGTCTTCTGCCTCGACCCGGTGAGCTGCCCGTGCTCGACCATGTACCGGATCCACCCGGCCTACCTGCTCTGGACGCTGGAAAGCCTCGTGGCCGGTGAGGTCGTCAACCGCATCACCGTCCCCGACCAAATGCAGCAGGAGTCGGTCGTAGCCCTGGAACGGATGCTGGCGCTGCGGTAGACGGTATAACCGTCACGGATTACAAAAGCGCTCCGACGATTGCCGGAGCGCTTTTGTCAGTTCTGTCTCATTCTGCCAGCTTGGTGCTCAGGGATGCGCGTCAAATATCCGCCGCCGCACCTCAAATACGAAGCCTGGCATCACGTTTTCGCCGCGAATCGTCTCGGGGTCTTCCAGTTCCTCCGGTTCAGCTCCGTGACGGTAAACATGAACCCTGCGTCGGTACGGGTCGATGAGCCAGCCCAACAGTGCGCCGTTTTCGACGTAACGTTCCATCTTGAGCTGGAGTGGCGGCCGGCGGTCGGTGCCTGACATGATCTCGGCGACGAAAGCGGGGCATTCTGTTATGGCACGGCTCATTCCTTGGGGCCGCAAGCGATCGAGTTGTTCGGGAGACAGCCAGGTCGCATCGGGTTCAGCGCGAGACCCATCCGGCAAACGCACGATGGTTCGCGGGGAAAAGGTCATACCTCCGTTGTCCTCAACCCAGTTGAACAAAACCCCGGAGAGTTGCCCTTCTGCATATCCGCTGTCCATGTTTACCATCGGGTTAATTACCAATTCACCGTCATTGGTCAGTTCCAGATAGAAACCGCGACCTTCGTTGGCTTTTGTCATGTCGACCAACCACTGATCGATCTCGTCATCGGTCAGTTTCCCTGACATGGACTCCAGGACGGCGCGTATGTTGACGTGCAGGGCAGACGGCAGAAGATTTTCGCCGCCTTCGTCTCGGGCTGTGTTTTGCACCGCCGCTGTGGTCGTCATGACACCAATCCTTCCGATGTGGGTTGATCAGGCTCCGCCCCGTGTATGCGACTGTAGTCGCACTCGCGCCTATGCTAGCTACGACTACGCCGCGTCGTCCAGGCAGTCCCGCAGGGGGCGGTTGATGCAGGAGAAGATGGGCGTGTCCCTGAGGGTATAGGGGCGGGCCTTGGACTCCCGGAGTTCCATGACCAGGTCCAGGAAGGTTCCCGGCTCGTCCGTCTCGAAGCCCAGCACGAACTCCGGGTCGTCCAGGCCGAAGGAGTAGGCCGTGGAGATCTTCACCTGCGGGTACTTGTGACCGATGACGAAGTGATCATTCATCAGTTCCTGGCGGTCTTCCTTGGGTAGCTGGTACCACTCGTGGGTCTTCCAGAAGGGATACATGAACAGATAGCGGCGGCCGACGATGCGCATGGACGCCGCGTCGCCGGTTCCTTCCTGCCCCTCGTGCTGGTGGTTGTCAATGTAGGGCGAGCGGCGGGTCATGCCCAGGTACGAGTGCGGCGTCTCCAGGTAGCCGCCCAAGCGGGTCCCGTTGAGTCGCGCGGCCATCTCGTTGATGGGTTCCAGCTCCGGACACACGCCCCACAGCATGAAATCGGTGTCGCCACGCGCCCCCACCAGCGTGTAGGTGTTCAGGGCGACCCGGTCGGAGTGCTCGCCGGCCACCGCGGCGAACTCATCCTTGGCGGCCTCGCGCTCGGCCACGGGCAGGCGGCGCCACTCGGGCTGCACCTTATAGAACGTGTATTTGACGAAATCTCGTCGCGGGTCAGCCATTGGAGGGTCTCCTTGAGTTGGATTCGGGATGGTGATGCCCCATTGTAGCATCGGCCCCGAGCGGCCGGGTTGGCGCGGTGCGGGATGGGTTACAATCCTTCACGTGCACGACGCCGGCGAGCGTCGCCACTATCACAGGAGGAACACCGATGGTAACAATCGGAGAGGGCCAGTTCACCTACGAGGTGCAGGAAGGTTGGGGTCAGCTGCCGGCCGGCTACGCTTTCAGAGAGGTGGCCGCCGTCGGCTGCGACGGGGACGACAACGTCTACGCCTTCAATCGTGGCGAACATCCCATGATCGTGTTCGACAAGGACGGCAACTTCCTGCAGTCCTGGGGCGAGGGCGTGTTCCCCCGAGCGCACGGGGTAACCATGGCCCCCGACGCCACGATGTTCCTCACCGATGACGGTGACCACACCGTCCGCAAGTGCACCCTGGACGGCGACATACTGCTGACCCTGGGCACCAGCGGCCATCCCGCGGAGTTCATGTCGGGCGACCCGTTCAACCGCTGCACCCACGTGGCCATTGACCCCCGCAACGGCGATTTCTACGTGTCGGACGGCTACGGCAACGCCCGTATCCACAAGTACAGCCCCGACGGTCGGCTGATCTTTTCGTGGGGCAAATCCGGCAACGGCCCGGCCGAGTTCAACATCGCCCACAACATCTGCACCGACCGCGACGGTCTGGTTTACCTCGCCGACCGGGAGAACCACCGGGTGCAGGTGTTCAACCCCGATGGCAGGTTCATGGGGCAGTGGAACGACATGTCCCGTCCCTGCGGCCTGTACATCGACCAGAGCGCCGGCTTGGTGTACATCGGCGAGCTGGGCTCGGCCATCGGCCCCAACTCCCAGGCTTCGGGACTGGGCCCTCGCGTCAGTGTCTACGACACGGAGGGCCGCCGCCAGGCCCGGGTCGGTGACGGACCCGAGGGCGAGGAACCCGGCCGGTTCATCGCGCCCCACGGCGTGTGCCTGGACTCGGTGGGCAACATCTACGTCGGAGAGGTCTCGTGGACCCACACCGGCCAGCATCTCGACCCGCCCCGCGAGGTGCGCTCGCTGCAGAAACTGGTCAAGACCGGATAGCCAGGTTGGAATGGATGCACCGGACGGACAGGATTGGCGTCGATGTCAGATAAATGATGTCGGATAAATCATGAACGGAATATCCCGTTTATCCTGCCTATCCATGCAAAGTAGAGAGTAAGAAACATGGACATCCGCATCGGCAGCCTGTCCCGCGACGCCAGCGAGGCCACCGGCGCCGCCCTGGTCATCGACGTCTTCCGCGCCTTCACCACCGCCGCCATCGCGTTCCACCGGGGCGCGCAGCGCATCACCCTGGTGGCCGAGGTGGAGGAAGCGCTGGAAATCCGGCGTAGCAATCCGGCCATCGCCGACATCCTGATGGGCGAGGTGGACGGTCAGCGACCCGACGGGTTCGACCACGGTAACTCTCCCTTTGAAGCCTCCTCGGTTGATTTCGCCGGCAAGAGCGTCGTCCAGTCCACCCGCGCCGGCACCGTGGGAACGGCGGCGGCCGGAGCGGCCGGCTGCGATCCCATCTACGTCACCTCCTTCGTGGTGGCCGGCGCCACCGTGCAGGCGCTGCTGGCGGAGGACCCGCAACCGGAGTTGGTGACCATCCTGGCCATGGGCGACCAGGGTTTCAACCGTTCGGACGAGGATGAGCACTGCGCGCTATATCTCCGCAATCGCCTCGAGGGCCGCAACCCGGACCCCGAGGCGTTGCGGAAGCTCATCATGGCCGGCGGCGCAACGCAGAAGTTCTTCGATGACGCACAGCCGCAGTTCCATCCCCGGGACGTGGCCCTGGCCCTGGAGGTGGACCGCTATCCCT